TCGCCCACACAGCGACAGAGCTGAAGACATTCCTGGGCCTTGGTTCTCTGCATTATGGAACTGTCCCTGCTCCCAGGTCAAGTGACCCACTGAGGATAGACAGAAGAACTGAGGCGTCTACTTTGCACTCAAGGAATAAAAGCAAGAGTGGTGTTGTCAGAACAGGATACCTGCTGGACTTCCGGTGTGGTGGATGCTCTGCAGGCCCAAGGCAGCCTTGTTTCCAGGAGCTTGAGCAGCAAAGATCATCTAAGATTATCCTTCTTGGGTTTGGGCACACCCATGATGGGGAATGTCCTTCTGTATATGTTTCTCTTAGTGGTTGATGAATACAACACTGATTGGCCAGTAGAGGCAGGAAGATAGGCGGGGCTAGGAGAAGGCTGGGGAGAGAGGTAAAGAGAGGCCACAAAGAGACGCCAGGCTGCCGAAGGAGTGACATGCTGGGTTATGGGTAAGCCACAGCCTCATGGCAATACATAGATTAACAGAAATGAGTTAATAATTAAGATAGCCGGGCACTGGTGGCGCACGCCTTTAATCCCAGCACTCGGGAGGCAGAGGCAGGCGGATCTCTGTGAGTTCGAGGCCAGCCTGGTCTACAGAGCAAGTTCCAAGACAGTCTCCAAAGCAATAGAGGAACCCTGTCTCCAAAAACCAATAACAATAACAACAACAACAAAAATAATAATTAAGACAGAGTTAGCCAATAAGAAGTCCTAATCATCAGTCAATAGTTTTATAATATAGCATCTGTGTGTTTATTTGGGGCTGAAGGGGGGGGGGACGGGGGAGGGGGGGGACGGACGGACGGATGACGACGAAACCAGGCAGGACAGAAACCTCTATCTACAGACCCATTTATTTTTTTGAAGACAATAAGTACCACAGGGGGCTGAAGAGATGGCTCAGTACTTAAGAGACTTGGCTGCTCTCCCAGAGGATCCAGGTTCGACTCCCAGCACTGACATCGAGTAGTTTACAACTGTCTGTAACTCCAGCTCCAGGGCATCTGGTTCCTCTGAAGGCACGGCACTCATGTATACCCTCCCACAGACATATACTTAAAATTAAATTAAAACATTGAAATGGGTATGGAAAAATTGAATATTTTTAAAAAGTACCACAATAAAAAATTAAGGAGGGGATGGAAAAGAGATATCTTTGTGCAACAAAGCTATGTATCAACAAAATGACCCTGAAGTAATTATCATGGGGAATGCCACGGGTCAGATCCCAACCCCAGACAAACATTCACAGACTGCTGCCAAGCAGCAGAGCAGAGATTGCTCAGCTGCCAGGAACCAAAAGAATCCTGGCTTATCTGTGTCCAGGCACTGGACAAGGGCAGGCTCGTAGCAGGCCTGCTGAGGCAAGAAAAAAAAAAAAAGGCCTCGCACATGGGGTTCTGTGAGTCACTCAGCGTGTTCCTTCCACAAAACATCCTGAGAAGTCGTGGTTCCTCTCCTCCTCTGGGGCTTTTCAGGGAAGATGGCCGGCAAAACAGTCCTGAGCTGCAACTGTAATCGCTTGTTCCACATTAAACGATATTCAGAAAAGGAAGATTCTAGCAAGTATGAGAGCGTCTATGTCTCAGACAGAAAAACTGAAGCTGTAGTGAAATGAGATAACTCATTCAAGGGTGTATACTTCACAGAAGATGGAACCGGCATTTCACTCAGACCTGTGTGGTCTTGACACACACACAGAAATACTATTTTGATATTAATTATAATTGTCACCCAGCCTCATTTGTGATCTCATGGCCACGGTTGCCTCCAGCCACCCAGGAGGAACTGTGGTGATGAAGTTAGTCTCGTCCTGGGGGATTGATATTTTTAGTATATGTGCTGCCAAAGTAAGCAGAACGTTTAGTTACCCGTTGTGGGACAAAGGCAGGCACACCCTGAAACAGACCAGGGCACAGCGCAATAAATAAAAGGGCTGGGTAGAAAGAAAGATCAGCCTAAGAGCCACCGAGGGACAGAGTGACACAAGGTTGGCTTTGTGTGGGGAAAATGGGCATACACACTGTGCAGAGCCAGGCATGGATGGCAGGGAACACGTGAGGGAGACAGACAAGAGGGAGGAATCAAAGAGCAGTGGCCCACGTTTGTAACCCCAGTACCTGACGGGGAAGAGGCAGGAGGATTACTACAAGTCTGAGGTCAGTCTGGTATGTACAGCCTGGCTTAGGCCAGCCAGTGCTGTTCTCAAACAAAAATAAAGCCAGAAAAAAAAGAGAGAGGCAGAGATCAGTTAGTGGCAGCAAGGTTGTCTGGGGCCTGACACGCAAGTATGTCCCGAGTCCCTTCAAGCAGCACACTTTCCTGTGTGGGAAACACGACAGAAGTTCCACAGGTCTCATCCCACTCGGTAGTAAGGCCCGCGTTTCACTGCTCTGAATATATTCACCACTTCAGTATGACCTTTGAGCTGGCTTTGCTCTAAGTGCAGTGGTTAGAGGAGACAGACAATACTCAATGGTTCAGCCTCAGTGGGTTGTCCACTGGTCTTGGTTTGCTGAGATACAGTCTCACTTTGTAGCCCAGGCTGACCTGGAATTCACTATGTAGCTCAGGATGCCCTTGAGTGATCCTACTGCCTCAGCCTCCCCCTAGTGCTGGGATTATAGGCACCGGTCACCAGTTTGGCTTTAAGCTCAACGTTTCAAAGGAGAAGAGAAGTCAAAGTTACAGGAGCCAAACAACAGTTTCCCTTTCTGCGACCCGGCAAGCAAACCCCCCTGGAATGGAAAGGTCAGTCCACAGACATTCCCTCCATGGAGGGGCATGGCCATGCTTGGTCCAGAGCTTGTGAAGCTCACAGTGACACCAGGCATCACCGATGACGGACACATTTTCCAGGTGCTGCAAACCATGAAGGACAGAAAAGTCTGGTTTTGTGCAAAAACATGGGTGCTTTTCCGTGTAAACAGTCCAAGTCTAACCAGAGAGGTGAGCAACAGAAGTCAGCAGGCTGTCCGCAGACACTTTTCACGGCTCCTAAGCCACACTGAAATAAAAGGACCAGGGGTGTCGCTCAGGGACGGAGTGCTGTCTAGTATCAGTGAGGCTCCAGGCCGCAGGCTCCAACTCCAGCACTAACAATAAAGGGTTACATTGTAACAGAGACAAGAGGGTCACATCAGCTATATGAGTCACACCCAGATGCGTTCCTGGGCTCCACCAAAGCGGACTTCTTTCATTTTTATGTAAACTTTGGGCAAGACAAAAATAACCAGGTAGTGGTGGTGGCACATGCCTTTGATCCCAGCACTCGGGAGGCACAGGCAGGACGATCTCTGTGAGTTCAAGGCCAGCCTGGTCTACAAAGTGAGTTCCAGGACAGCCAGGGCTATGTAGAGAAACCCTAACTCAAAAAACCAAAGTAATGATGATGATGGTGATGATGATGATGATGATGATGGTGATGACGATGTGGTCCATTCCTGGGTGGGCTGCAACCAAAAACAACTGACCCAAAGAAAGGCTTACAGCATCTCAACCTGAAACAGCCCCAGTGGTCAATCCAGTGTCTGAGAAAGAAAGCATTATAGTGGTGTCCACTCACTCATGACTCTTCACAACTGCTCTTCTACCTCTTCGCCCCCAGCCATCTCCTCTAAGGTCTAAGCAACTTGGGGGCAAAAGTGCTCTTTTGTTTTTTTAATAAAGTCTCATGTAACCTAGGTTTGGAGAGAATCTTTTTTTTTTTTTTTTTTTTTGGTTTTTCGAGACAGGGTTTCTCTGTATCGTTTTGGAGGCTGTCCTGGAACTCGCTCTGTAGACCAGGCTGGCCTCGAACTCACAGAGATCCGCCTGCCTCTGCCTCCTGAGTGCTGGGATTAAAGGCGTGCACCACCAATGCCCAACTGGTGAGAATCTTAACAAAATAAGGCAGAGAGAGAGAAACTGAGGAAGACATCCAAACACAACCTGCGGTTTCTACGCCCACAGGCACACACACATACACATGTACACAGGAAGAAGGGAATGAGGGAGGGAGGGAGGGAGGGAGGGAGGGAGGGAATAGTTGCATTCCTAAACATGAGTACTGGTAACATATTCCTGCCCACAAGAACCCAACAAACCACTACACAACCAAGAGAATACCTGAAGCTGAGCCAGGGTTCAGGGGGTTTGATAAAGGGGTTGAGAAACCCTGTGTGTGCATGTACCTATTTATTATTATCCTCAATTATTTTTTGAGACAGTCTCCCATAGCCCAGGCTGGCCTCAAACTTACTACTTAGCAGAGGATGCCCTTCATTTCCAGTCCCCCTGGCCACCACCTCCGAGGTGATGGGACTACAGACTTGTGCCACTAATGGCCTTGTGTCTGACCATCTACAAATCTCTACTTTCTCAGCTGAGGAATTATAAGTATCTCAACCATCTCAGAAGCAAAACTCCCTTTCTCATGGCGGTACCAAGACATGAGCTAACTTCTTCACACATTTGTTTTCAATACGGGAAAGAGGGCGGAGCTACTTGGTCTGACCTAGCCCAGTAAAGATCAGCAATAACTAGAGGCCACCTTGCAGCATAAGGGATGGTGGAGTTAAATAGGGTCACACTGGAGGCAAAGTTTAAGGCGCCCCGCAACTTCCCTCAGTTCCTGGATCTTAGATAAATGATGTACCACCTTACAAAGGATGCTTAGCTTTGTGTCACGTGACGTCCAACCACAGCAACACCTAACCCTGTATTCCCAACTCACTTTAAAAATACCTTCATCTGGGGTCCAAATCACAAAGAGCAGGAGTCAGCCAGGCTTTCCTCCCAAAGCTTCGGGGAAGTGTTCAAAGTGTCTTTTTTTCCCCCTAGTCTCTTTTAACTGCATGGATACACGTGCCCACAGAGTCCAGAGGAGGGCATCAGATCCCCTGGAACTGGAGTTACAGACAGTTGTGAGCCACCATGTGAGTGCTGGGAATCAAATCCGAGTCCCACTAGAGTGGCCAGTGCTCTAACCACTGAGCATTCTCTCCCCCTCCAGTGCTCGCTTTGGCAGCACATATACTAAAACTGGAACGATACAGAGAAGATCAGCATGACCCCTGCGCAAGGATGACATGTAAATAAATAAATAAATGAAAATGCATTTCCACCTCAAAGAGTGATTACTTCCACACCTTTACACACAGGGCTCTTCACTGCCAGACTCTTAAGAAACAAAACCCTTCCAAGGTCACTGTGTCCTAAATGACAGAAAAGGTAAATGCTGCCCAGCCATCCTGGTTCCTTACCAGGAACTCAGGCAAGCCAAGAAAATATAGAGGATCAAGTCAATGAAGACTGAAGTCAAAATTTATAGACTATTTTCACAACCATTTCAGCTGCTGGAAGGAACAGGATATTTACTTGTCCCCACGTGCCAGAGGGCACAACAAAGGTCTGAGAATGTGCGGCGACCTAGAACCAGACTCAGGATGGCTGATGGAAAGGACAGAGGTCTCTTGGTGGGACTCCAGTGACTAATGTCCAGGAAAGGTGCCTTTAAACTAGATTACATCAAGCATGCTCTGACGTTCATTCCACAGTGGTGGCCACTGCGTCACAGAGAACCTGGACCAGCTAACCTCTCCCTGCATCGCAGAGACGTGTGAACCCGGACCAGCTAACCTCTCCCTGCATCACAGACACATGTGAACCCGGACCAGCTAACCTCTCCCTGCATCACAGAGACATGTGAACCTGGACCAGCTAACCTCTCCCTACATCACAGACACGTGTGAACCCGGACCAGCTAACCTCTCCCTGCATCACAGACACATGTGAACCCGGACCAGCTAACCTCTCCCTGCATCACAGAGACGTGTGAACCTGGACTAGCTAACCTCTTCCTGCATCACAGAGACTTCTGAACCTGGACCAGTTAACCTCTCCCTGTATCACAGAGACTTCTGAACCTGGACCAGCTAACCTCTCCTGCATCACAGAGACTTCTGAACCTGGACCAGCTAACCTTTCCGGACCACTTCTATCAGCAGCCCAGAGTTAAGAAGCCTGTGTGAGGCTGTATCAGAATGAAGCAGTATTGCCTTCCAGCTGCTGGCTATCAGAAACTAAGTAAGTAGAGGATGAATGTGAGCTTCATATTTAAAAAAAAATTTAATGCATTGTGTGTATACAAGTGTTTGCCTACATGCACAGACTCATGCCTGGGGACCAGAGAGATGACTAGAAGGCATGTATCCCCTGGAACTGGAGTTATGGATGTTGGGAGCCACCATGTAGCTGCTGGGAACTGAACCCCCTCTCTGGACGTCTGCTCAGAGCCCTACTATCTCCAGTTTGTCTTTCCTTCCCATTTCTTTCAGCGGTGTGACCATGCACTGGGAAATATCCAACACGGCACCACAGGGCAGGCACAGTTAGTTAAGCAGGATCCAAGAGGTACAAACCAGGCGTTTGGAGAACCAAAAGAGGAGGAAGGCTGCTAAAGGGGGGTCTCTGCGTTCTTCCACATCTCTCTGAACATCTGCATAATCTCAGATGAGAGTAGAGTAGGCATCTCTGAGAAACCCTCTGTATACCAGCAGTGGAGGGGAAAGTCCAGACCGTCTACATTCACATCATACAGTACGCAAAGCGTGGAAAGACACGTCTGCACGAAAGGAAATGACGGGGGGGGGTGTGAAACTGAGCCACTGCTGGGCGTGGTGGTGCACACCGTTAGCCCCAGTCACAACTTGAGGGGCTGAGGCACTCGAACCTCTAGAATTCTAGGCCACATAGTGAGACCCTGTCTCAAAAACACAAAAAACCCAAACAAACAGGGAAGCTGAAGAGAGCATGTCTGATATGCACAGGATTGAGAAGTTTGAACCCATTGCTTCTAAGAACTAAAGAATTCTTATAACGGGCTCAATTTTGTAAGACAATTTTTTACTCCTAGCTCTTAAATCTCGTATTTAATGCCTCTCCTATGACATTAATGAATTCTTGTCCATTTCTTAGGATGAGATGTAGTACAATGATTACAATGAATAACAAAACTCTTATCTTTCTCTTAAAAAAAAAAAAAAGATTTGTTTTTGAAGGCTGTGGTGGCTCCTGCCTTTAATCCCAGTACTCAGGTGGGAGAGAAGGGGATTTCTGTGAGTTCAAGGCCAGTCTGATCTACATAGTGAATTCCAGGACAGCCAGGGCTACACAGTGAGAACCTGTCACAAAAAGAGAAAAGAAAGAAAAGGAGGAAAAAAGTGGAGAAACCCATGCAATGTCCAACTTATATATCTGGTACGAGCCATAGATTTCCTAACCATGGGATTCTTCAGAGGCATAACTGTTAGTTTATGTCTGTCCCTCTCCAAAAGAGACAGACTTCACTGGCCACATGGACCTCAAATCACAGAAATGGCCGCGCTGGCGCTGTCCTGGGCAATGCTGATTGAAGTGAGGCAGCTCAGATGTACGGCAGCTGAGGAGCATTTGCACGGGGCGCTGGACAAATACAGGGAGAGGCTCAGAGGTTGGACAGCCCTGGACCCTGAGTCTGAATGGTGGCACAGCCATGTCTGCAATGACCATCAGAGGCACTCGGTAAAATCACTGTCCTGTCTATCAGATAAAGGAACTCCAAAAGACTTACACGAATGACCAACTAAGAATATGAAAAGGTCCCAGCACTCGGGAGGCAGAGGCAGGTGGATCGCTGAGAGTTCGAGACTAGCCTGGTCTACAAAGCGAGTTCCAGGACAGCCTCCAAGACAATACAGAGAAACCCTGTCTCGAAAAACCAAAAAAAAAATAATAATAATAATATGAAAAGGGCTGACAGAGCTCTTGCCTGGCATATATGAGGTTCTAGGTTTGATTCTCAGGACTGGAAAAATAAAAATAAAAATGTACAGAGTCAACGTCCCCACCCTAAACAAAACAACCAAAACAAACAGCAAGAAGTGAGCCCCACTAGTCAGGAGGAAAACGCAAATCAAAACCTCAATGAGAAACAGTCACACCCCCTCTGCCATGGTAAAGCAAAACAAAATAAAATAACCAGCACATTAGCAAGTGAAGTAATGAGAGACATCAGAGTCCTCATCTACAGCTGCTGGGGGTATGAAGGGATGCAGCTGCTTCACCAACAGCCCATCCAACTCTCAAAAGTTAAACACAGTCACCTCCGTAACACACGACCCAGCAACTCTGCTCAGATTAGCCACTGGGAGCTTCGAACACTCAACGCCAACGATCAAAACAGCTCAAACAGCATCAACTGAAGATAGCAAAATATAGCACAGTGTGTCAGGGAAGGGAAACAAAGGCCGATACTGTATTTGTGCACATGCATGAAATTCTCAAAAAACTTAAAGTACATATAATTTTAAAACTAAATAATAGCCTGGCGTGGTGGCATACACCTTTGATCCCAGAACTCTTTTAGAGGCAGAAGCAGGTGGCTATCTGTGATATCAGGGCCAGCCTGGTCCACATAGACGTTCCAGGGCAGTCAGGGCTACATAATAGAGAGACCCTGTCTAAAAAGAAAAAACAAAATAGACAAGTAGCAAAAATAGAATACAATATAACAACACAATAGAGTACTAGTGGGCCATCATGATACATGATAAAACACAGTCACCCCTTGACAACTCCATGGTGAGTAAGAGAATCTAATTATAGAAAGTCACATGGAGACTCTTCACCCCCTTCCTTGGGGCAGGATCTCCTGTAGTCCAGACTGATCTGGAACTTGCTGTATAGCCAAAGATGACTTTGAACTTGTGACCCTCCTGCCACCCACTGTGAGTGCTGGGATCATAGGTATTTACCACCACCCTCAGTTTTATGGAGTACCTGGGATGGAGCCCAGGGCTTGGTGCATGCCAGGCTCTGGTTTCTCTCTGAGGTGATGAACAGGTTCTGAAATTTGGGTAACAGTGACAGTGACCCAGCAATATAAATAGACTGGAAACTGCTTTCCCTTAGTTGGACCACTAAAGGCAAGGTGGTCTTTGCCACCAGCAGGTCTACTACAGTCTCCTAAACACTCAGTCACAGTTGTCACTCTTGTGACACTGCTCAAATCGCCAAGGTCTGACCAAGAAATATAAAACCAGGTGGATCTCTATGAGTTCAAGACCAGCCTGGTCTACATAATTGTGTTTCAGGCCAACCAAGGATGCACAGCGAGTGAGACTCTGTCTCAAAAAACTAGGGGCGGAGAAAGGGAGGTGGGGGAGGGAGGGAAAAAACATAAGCTGGCTGGGTAATGGTGGTGCACCCTTTAATCCCAGCACTTGGAAGGCAGAGGCAGGTGGATGTCTGTGAGTTAGAGGCCAGCCAGGTCTACAGATTGAGTTCCAGGACGGCCAAGGACATACACAGAGAGACAGAGAGAGAGAGAGAGAGAGAGAGAGAGAGAGAGAGAGACAGACAGACAGACAGACAGACAGACAGACAGACAGACAGATGGATATATGCTGTCAGAGTTCCTATCAGGTATTACTGAGTCAGGCGTGATATCCACTCAATGAAAGAGATGGTGTTGCTTGTACATAAAACAAAAAAATTTAAATCCTTCAAAAAAATACTGAAAACCACAGAATCATATTCCTGAAAAGGGTAAATTTACCATCCATAAATTACATTTTAATAGCCGGGTGTTGGTGGCGCATGCCTTTAATCCCAGCACTTGGGAGGCAGAGGCAGGCGGATCTCTGTGAGTTCGAAGCCAGCCTGGTCTACAAAGCTAGTTCCAGGACAGTCTCCAAAGCTACACAGAGAAACCCTGTCTCGAAAAGACAAAAAAAAAAAAAAAATACATTTTAATAAACTATAATTATCCCCGTTCCCCAAAAGAAAATAATTCTTCAGAGACTGCCCTTACCTGACCTCTGTGGAACAACACTGATGGCTTCACATGGTTCAGCACTGTGGCCACCTAGGGGACAGGCCATCCTCCAACACCTAACACACGGGACCCCCCACCTAGGGGACAGGCCATCCTCCAACACCTAACACACGGGACCCCCCTACCTAGGGGACAGGCCATCCTCCAACACCTAACACACGGGACCCCCCTACCTAGGGGACAGGCCATCCTCCAACACCTAACACACGGGACCCCCCACCTAGGGGACAGGCCATCCTCCAACACCTAACACACGGGACCCCCAACCTAGGGGACAGGCCATCCTCCAACACCTAACACACGGGACCCCCCACCTAGGGGACAGGCCATCCTCCAACACCTAACACACAGGACCCCCCACCGCGGCCACCTCGTCCCTCTTCTCCCCACTCAAGGGTTAGTGAGTACAAGAAGAGCAGCATGTGTGTGCCGTGTAGCTTGTCAGGCCCAAGACTGTAAATAATTCTACATTTTGTACAAGCCTATAACTCCAGAACACAGGATGCTGAGGCAGGATTGCAATTTACAGTTTGCACTTTACAAAAGAGTTTTGACGTTGTCATGTCTCAAGCCTTATTGTGCACATGGGATCAGTTAATCATCAACAGAAAAGTTTTCAACAAATTACGCCGTGCTTAAATATGCCTAAAATAAACTACTTTGGATCAGATTACCCAAACGTGAACTAACACCGGCCACTAAGTCATGTAGCAAGAAACTACCTTCCTGACTCTTGTGGATCTTACTCTACTGGCTGTGGTGATCGCAGAGACAAACCCCACCCCACCCCACCCCACCCCAGGCATTCCACTGACATCAAATCCTGGATCCCAAGAATAGAGAAACCTCGAGGCTCCCCTAAAAGGCTCGCAAGGAGCAGTTACTGTGTGACAGGCACCATTATGCTTTACAAGTATTAGCTGTAAGCACTAACTCCCACTGTAATTCTATAAACAGTGTGCGTATTACCCCATTTTACAGATGAGGACACCAGGTGAATGAAGTCCTCGAAGTTCTACGGTCCCGTTCTGAGGCACGGGCTCAGGCTCCTCAACTTGCTATGCTGCTTCCAGGTGTCCCCACATATTTGATAAATACACAGAAAAGGCTTGGAGTTGGACATGGTGGCTCATGCCTATAATCCCAGGACTCGGAAGGTCAAGGCAGCAGGGCTGTTTCAAGTTCAAGGCCAGCCTGGACCAAGAGTAAAAATCTGAAGGAGTAAGGGGACGGAGAGAGAGACAAAAGGGGAGGGAGAGGGTAGAGTGAGCCTGGCTGTCAGGGGAGGGGGGTAGAGAGGCCTGGCTGTCAGGGGAGGGGGGGTAGAGAGGGCCTGGATGGCAGGGGAGGGGGTAGAGAGGGTCTGCCTGGCAGGGGAGGGGGTAGAGAGGGTCTGGCTGGCAGGGGAGGGGGTAGAGAGTCCTGGCTGGCAGGGGAGGGGGTAGAGAGGGTCTGGATGGCAGGGGAGTGGGTAGAGAGTCCTGGCTGGCAGGGGAGGGGGGTAGAGAGGCCTGGCTGGCAGGGGAGGGGGGTAGAGAGGCCTGGCTGGCAGGGGAAGGGGGTAGAGAGGCCTGGCTGGCTGCCACACTCGAGGGGAGCACAGACTGGCTGACCTGTGGAAACTGAGACCACCGTCCTAACACCGCCTGCAGCACCGCCGGAGAACCACAAGCCACTTCTGTAGCACCTGGGCAAGCATGTCTAGCCTTCAACTACCCGCCTGCTGCCCTTGCCTGAACCCTGTTCCTTGCTCGCGGGAATCAAGAGCTGCAGACAGGAAGGGGGCTGGAGCTGAGCAAACAAGCTTCGGTAGGCTGCTGAGGAAGAACACTGAAATGGTCCCCGCGGCCAACCCTGGCAATCAGGAGCTTGCTGCCACAGCTACTGGGTGAAGGAGTGGGCCTTCCTCGCAGGAGGGTAATGACCCTGTGCACAGCCTGCTGGTGCGGATATGAACAGAGAGTGCATGGCACTACACTCTGTTTTAAATGTGTCACACAGCCAACCCTATAGACGAAAACACAGAAAGACGCGTGTTGCCCTACAGAGCGGTCAGACAGAGAGAGAGCGTGCTGGCATAAGATCAGAGGGCTGTGGAGACGGCTCAGTGGGTGCAGCACTTGCTGTGTAAGCAGGAAGACCAGAGGTTGGGTCCCCAACCACACCACTAACTTCATTGTATCAATTATTAACATACAAAAATCACTATTCATGCAAATAACTGTCCAAGTGGCCCTTGAATATGTGATGAATGTGTATGAAGGTTGGCTCCAATTGCCATACTAAGTTGCTACACCCCAGCAAGACCTGCTGTGGTCCTCCCTTCTTCCTCTCTAAATCTAGACATGAGTGTCGGAGGCAGAAAAGGCACCAAACAGACACAAATCATGTCCTCCCACTTTTTTTTTTTTTTTTTTTTTTTGGTTTTTACGAGACAGGGTTTCTCTGTATTGTTTTGGAAGCTGTCGGTCGGCCTCGAACTCACAGGGATCGGCCTGCCTCTGCCTCCCGAGTGCTGGGATTAAAGGCGTGCGCCACCACTGCCTGGCATGCCCTCCCACTTTTGCTTTACATCTTTTTGGACGTTTGTATTCGCCATTGCTATGAGCATGTGCTGTTTTGCAGACTTAAAACCATCAGAATAAGAAAAGGCAGTGAGTTCCTCTCCAGGGAGAGTCAGCAGACAGGATGGCTCTGGGTTTGCTGTTCCCGCCCCCTGTGAGTGCAGCAGGAGGATCTGCAAGCAAAAAGAGAAATCACTCCACAAACATGCAGGGAGCAAGCTGGCTGAACTGTCACCCTAGTCAAGTCTGGATTCCAGGCTCAAAGAACTACAGTGGTCCCTGCATCTGGATGCAGAGAGCCACCTGGTAGCTGCCCTCCCAAAAGGACCACGGGAAAAAAGAAGAGCTGGGTCTGATCAATTCGCTTCTGGTCTTCTGTTCCTTCTGTGTTTGGCCAGACCCCGCCAGATAGAATTTTAGAGGAAATCAGGGCCGTGGTGGCGCATGCCTTTAAACCCAGCACTTGGGAGGCAGAGGCAGGCAGATCTCCGTGAGTTCCAGGACAGCCAGGGCTGTATAAAGAGAACCTGCCTCAAAGCAAACAAAAAATTTAAATGAACACGATAAACTGGAGGATGGCACCCCAAAACTAGAGTACTGCCCTGTGCAAGCTGTGATCAATTTCTCCATGAACACTGCTTCCAAGCAGAAAGAATGTGTAATAAAAGACAGTTACAACACAAGACGCTTCCTGCTGGGTATCTGAAAATCAAAATACACATGTTTTTGTAACTCTGTTCTGGGACCCACCCTTCTAAACCACAAGATTCTTGCGCCAACTTACACTTCTTTTCACCTTTTCCAAAACAACTTGTGAAAGTTCAAGTCTATAAAATTCCTGAGATCCTGCAGCAAAGCAGCCTGGGCATCATGCCAGCACTGGCATGGGGGAGAGGATACACACAGCTCACCCAGCTCTCCTGGTGTGGCAGTGCACGCCTTTAATCCCAGCACTTGGGAATCAGAGGTCGGTGGATCTCTCTAAGTCTGAGCCAACGTGGTCTACACAGTTACATAGTGGCCAGTCAGGGATACACAGTGAGACCTGTCTCAAAAAAAAAAAAAGAGCCAGGCACGTCATGGTGGTGCACACCTTTAATCCCAGCACTTGAGCCCTAGGGAGGCAAAAGCAGAGGAGGATCTCTGAATTCGAGGCCAGCCTGGCTCCACCGAGAAACCCTGTCTCAAAAAAGAAAAGTATAGTGTGGATAAGAAAAAAGCCAAAAGTAAACACAACTGAGCTGAGAATGTCACTGGGTAACCAGAGTCCCCAAACCCTGTTCCCTGCAGGACTGGTTAATGGATGTCTGAGAAGGTGACCTCTTTTAATCCCCACATTAAGAGTTCCCCAAAAGTGGCTCACAGGCCGCAGGGTTCCATTGGATGGGACTCTCTTCTTCATGCTGATCTCCCAAGCTGCAGGGTCCTAGATTTATCTCTTTGTGGTTTCCACCTCCCTAGTGCAGTTCAGGCCAAACCCAGCACCACCTAGAGGAACCGTAAGCATGGGCCATGGGTCCTCCAATGACACTGTTCCTCTCACTCTGGTGGGCTGTGCATTAAACCTGGTTTGGAGGTCCCCAGGGGTATGCAAGATGGAAAAGGAACCAGGCCACTGACAGTCACACAAATCAGTCCTGGTCACACACGGCCCTTCAAATTAGCTCTAAGAACTAAGGCAAGCAATGGAGATATTCTTTCAGAGGTATGGTTGGCTAGACACTCAAAAAGCAGTTGGCACTCTGAATCCAAAGCCATCCAAGGTATCGAGAACACCCATACAGACTTGCGTGCAGGTCCCAAGCACAGGGCCTGCATCCCCAGGCCTTGACACTTAGCCTAAACCCAGGACATCGGGCCTCCCTTGCGGCAGAAGTCGAGAACATGCCACGGTTTCCACAGACTAAGTGTGCATGAGAACAAACCAGTGATCCTATGGCCAAAGACGAGCCGAGCCTTGGAGAGGGGAAAGGAAAGAACTCTGAAAACATGACTCCGTTTCAGACTTACGGGAGCGTAGAGGACATTGAGAAAAGGAAACAACTGGCCATCGGGCTTTCACTGGGGCAAAACCAAACTATGCTGTTAAACTGAAACCACAAGGGCAGATCAAAGCGAAGGGAAGAAAGTTCAAGGCAGGGTGAGTGGGAGGTGGGGGCATCACCTGCTCACTGAACCACAGACCAAATGCTGCTTCATCCGGAGGCTTGATGCTGGCTGGCAAAATGAAGCTGACCGGGGCAGGGTGGCACTGACTTCACCGCCACATCAGAGCTCTAAACTGCCCCACCTAAAAACTGGCTGTCGGCAGAGAGAAGGCTCAGCGGGGAAGGGGACCCTCCTGGTAGGAGAGTTCTACAAGCGGCCTGTGTGAGCATGTGTGCACACACAAAAGAGTGAACGACTCATGAAGTCAGTGGACCCTGTGGCACGCCATCCACTCCTGTCCCTCTTGGTAGAAGGCCTAGCCTCAAACTGCAAACAGCTGCTGGAAACTAGAAGGCATCTTACCTCAGGCCAGACGGTCCCCAGGTTTCGAGACATCGTCTTGAGCAGCGTGCGAAGGCTAGTGCACTCCTGGGTTTCACATGTGGGACGCCAGCTACACTCTCAGCACATCTCCAGACACTGACAAATGTCCTCTGGAGGGTGCAAAATAACCCTTCAGTGACAATTGTGATGTTAAACCCATAGAACTACCATTGACAGTGGTCTACACAGATAACCTAACTCCAGACACACGAAAGAATGGAGCAAGTCAAGTTAAACTTCAGACCTGGGTCCCTCGACACAGTTGGCACTAGTGTGCCAACTGCAATGCACTCTGCGGACCATCAGTAAGAATAATAGCGATTGTTATTATTATGTTTAACCACTAAGTGCATTCTGAGAGTCTTCGCTGTACTGCATTTTCCCCATAAGTCTGTGAGACACATGCTAATGTTAGTCTCTTTTGGAAGAGGAAATTGAGGCACAAGAAATTAACTCACTCAGTAGTGTCATATTTGGAACTCAGAAGGCCTAACCACACGACCCATGACCCTATGACCTTACCCCGGTGCCAAACCCACATGCTGGAAGCTGTTAGATCACACTGCCCATGATGTAGTCAGTAGCTACATGTAGCTATTCAATGTAAAGTAAACACCAGACCACTTTGGGAAGCCATCTGGCAGTTCCCGGGAATGTTACACAGAGTTACCAACTGACCCAGCGGTTAGGGATCTGCACAGAATTGAAAACAGAAGCCAGCGTAGTTTACACTCCTAGGCCCAGCACTGGGGAGACAGACGCAGAAGGAATGACATGAACTGTAGGCAGCTTGGCTACAAACTGAGACCCTGTATCAAACAAACAAACAAAAAAACAAAACAATGGGACGTCCACCGTCAAGTCTTACGATCAGGGTTTCAGGGTTTCACCCCTAGGATTCCTCTGTGAGACGACAACTGTGGGTTGTCCTCTGACCCTCACCATGCACTTACACCCGGATGTATGTATACACACACGTAATCAATGAATAAAAGTGGGAGAAAATCAAAGCATTGTATGTATACAAAAATGTCCACACCACTGTTCCCTGTTGCATTATCCCTAATAACTTTGAAGTGCCCAAATGACCACCAATTGATAAATAATTTAAAAATATGGGGCATCCATGCCATAAGAGAAAGAAAGGAAGACAGACAGACAGACAGTGGGGCTGGGGAGAGGGCTCACTGAGATGGAACATTTGTCCGGTAACCTTGAAGACAAGTTCAAATCTCCAGCACCCACACAAAATACTGGGCAAAGTGTGAGCCTAGAACCCAGCACTAGCAGGAGGAGCTAGGCGGAGCTCGTTGTCCAGTCAGCACTGCCAAGGCAAGCTTCAGTTCAGCAAGACTGTCTCAAGGCATTAAGATGGGGGGACAGTCCTGCTGTGACTCCACATATGTGTGCATGGGCACACAGAACCATACACTCCTATGTACATACCACACACAAACACCACACACAAAAAGAAATGAAGAATTGATACATGCTACAACACAGGACAACTATGAAGACATTAAGTTCAGTAAAATAAGGCAGTCTGGGTCCATGCTTTGTATGAAATGTGCAGAGCAGGTAATCAGAGAGACAGAAAGGGTAGCAGTTGCTGAGGGCTGTGGGAAGGGAGGTGGGGTGGTTCTGAGCTTCCTTCTGAGGGTGATGAAATATTCTAAAATGTTAGAGAGCAGAAGTAATGGTGATATGATTCTGCGACCATGTAAAAACAGATAACTTATGTAAGTTTTGTTGTTGTTTTTTGAGACAGGGCCTTGCAATACAGTCTTGTCTGGAACTCACTATGTAAACCAGGTTGGCTTTGAATTTTATGTAAGTTTTTAAATGTGTGAAAATATCATAATATAAATGATAAGCCAGACAGTGATGGCATACACCTTTAATCCCAGCGCTTGGGAAGCAGAGGCGGGCAGATCCCTGTGAGTTTGAGGCCAGCCTCGTCTACAAAGAGAGTTCCAGGATAGCCAGGGATACATATAGAAACCATCTTGACAAACAAAAGATATGAAAATTAGATATGGTTGCAAACTCAGTTTCTCGGGTACCTTAGCCAAAGTACAAGCACTAACAGGCATAGGTAGCCAAGCAGCCACTGAACTGCAGTGCCCATTTCTGACTCCTAGTCTTCTGTACCAAAAACTCGCAGCGCTTCAAACGCCTGTCTCTATGAAACTTCCCCTGGGCTCTCAGCTTCTACCTGCCTGAGCAGACTCCATGCTCCACTTGAGAGCAATCTAGATTATAATTCCTGTGTGTGTGATCCTCCTTCCCCACACCCAACTACCAGATCCTTGAGGTAAGGGTTTCTGTTCCACATTTGATGCTTCCCAGAACCTGCTGGAGTTCAGAAATGTCCACTAAATGGAATTTCATCAGAAAGGCTTACTCAGGAAATGACTTGATAAAATGCTCACTTTGGAATACCAAACACTACAAAAACAAGGAAAGGGAGCTAGATTTTGTAAGCCACACAATCTTACTGTTCTACAAGTTATGACAGTGGCCGGGCGATGGTGGCGCACGCCTTTAATCCCAGCACTCAGGAGGCAGAGGCAGGCGGATCTCTGTGAGTTCGAGGCCAGCCTGGTCTACAGAGTGAGTTCCAGGACAGCCCCCAAAACAATACAGAGAAACCCTGTCTCGAAAAACCAAAAAAAAAAAAAAAAAAAAACTTATGACAGTGACTACCCTGAAATGCTATTTGTATGACCAGAGAAGTTCAAGGTTACACAGCAGGTTAAGACTGGTTTGGGCTACATGAAACCTTGCTTCCAAATAACAAGAGAGGGTATGGAGGATGGAGCAGGTGTGTGGTGCTGCCTGTATCCCTAGTACTCAGAGGTGGGGCATGGCCATCCCAAGCCTGCAGCCTGGGAATGGAGCAGTGGTTCTAAACTAAAACCTAAGCATGAGAGGGAAGCAAAGCTGGCGTGAAATCGAGGAGCAGAGAGAAAAAGCAGGGAAGGGCCCAACTGAAGTCAGTTTTGAAGTTGAGAGGAGCTCTAAGGAGGGTGTAGGTTGCACTCAGACCAGCAGCGGGATCCTCTTATGGATATAGACAGTTCTGTAAAAACTTTACTTTAAACAACATAGTCCAGTGTTCTGGCTGGATCTAAACATCAGAAGGAAAGCAATTCTATGTTATCTCAAGCATAAATTAACTAGAGGAAACAAATGCCAAGGCCTTCCTGTTTGCAAACTGCAGCTTTTTTATTCTTTTCAGATTCAAGGAATCCCATCTGAGAGTCATGATGCCCTAGGAGAGAGTTACACAGAAGTTCCTAACTGTGGCAGTCCATAGGCTGATAAACTTCTTTGGTCTGTGTGGCAAGAGATGAGCATTATGAAGAGCTGGTAATAGGAAAAGTCACCTATAAACACATAGTACAAATAACCAGTGTGCATGACGTAGCTGGGCATGGTGGTATACACCTGTATCCCAGCATTTCAAGCTGAGGCAGGAAGATCACAGGAGCTGATGATCAGCCTGGTCAACACACTTACGTTCCAACCAGGGCGGCAGCTAATAAGGCACCGACTAAACTACCCCCATCCACCCCTACCCTGGCCAAAACAGATCCCTACTAGGGGCCCAGTGGTTATGGTATTAGACTGCTAAACCCTATGGAAGAATGAATAGAAAAAGATGGCATTTGACAGATTCATTTCAGGGAGGGTGATACGCTGAGGTCCCCACACCACATTCCACACAGAGTTCAAGGTGCCACCTGAGTGACCTGGGGATCACTACAGAAATAAAGGCCTGAAGGACATCCTCGGACAGATGCTCTCTGTAGCTTTTTTCCCTTTCCGATGTTTACAAACCAAAACCCCAAACAAAAACCCTAAACTGACTAAGCTGTGGTGGATTCAGTTAATAATTATATCGTAACTTCCATTCCAAAGGTTAAAAACCAAAACACAAATTTCACCATAGACATCTGGTATGACTGATTGGACAGGAGGACCCGGGGGATGAGGGGTGAGATGAGAGTAAAGGGTGTCGTCGGGGTGACGTGTGGAAAGGGCAGGAAGGAGTGGGCAGCTCATACCCTAACTTTCCCTCTCCACAGGAACTGTGTGTAACCACGCAACAGCTGTGGTCATTGCTAGCACCCAACTAAACGGAACAAAGTACCAAAGCCACCCTGTCCCCAAAATAAGTATTGAAGTACCAGAAATATAAGAAAACAGTGATTGACAAGCTCTAATTGGAGCCCTAAACCAAAGACCCTCTTCCACATCTCGGCACCCCAGGCTCCAGGATGTGGCAGGAACCTCCCCTTTCCAACTCTTCTCCTTGAAGAAGTGGATCCTACAGCAACCAGCCCACCTCCAAAAGCTCCACACTCCTAAATCAACCCACTAGCAAGGTGCTTGAATGGCTATAGGGAGCGGCCCTCGGAGATAACCACAGAAATGGGAAATCAAGTTCATTCTGTACTCTGTTCCGTCAGTGCCTTAACTTTACCAGTCCTCCCGGCTTACACGTTTAACTAAGAAAACAAAGAACCTCGACCAAGGCTAAGAACCAAAGGTTTCCATCCCTAGGAAGGAGTTTCTGCAAGGTCATAATTGAGCTCTATTTCTTTCATATATTATCTCCCAGATAAATATATCCCCCATTGAGACACGGCAACAGATAAGCTGACATACAAACTGTAGTGCACACATAAAGGGGAATACTATTTGGTCACAGTGTGGGTGGACCTTAAAATAAGATAGTATGTGAAAGAGGTCAAACACCAGACTCCACACACTGTAGCTTTCCATTACCCAAAATAACCAGAACAGGTAAATCCACAGGCAGAATGCAGACTGGTGGTGGTCAAGAGACAGCTTGTGGGGCTGGGGGGCATGGATAGGGAGTAACTGGTCAACGGGGATGCGATTTTTGGGATGATCCAACTGTTTTGGAACTAGACAGAGGTGGTGGTGGCACAACACTGTGACTGTACTGAATGCCACTGAGTGATTCACCTTAAAACTGTTAACTTTGTTATGTGAATTTCAACTCACTCGAAAATCTATCACATCACAGAACTTTGGGTGGCTAAGGAAAAGGATCTTGAGTTCAAGGCCAGCCTTACCTACACAGCAAGATCCTGTCTCAAACAAAACAAAACCCAATCATCTGTGGGTTTTGTTTTTGTTTTAGGAAGAGGACACTTGGGAGCAAAACAAGATCCATATGAGAAAAAGCCGCCCTTAAGCTCTGAGGAAGGGTAAGTATTTTGCTAGCAATTTCTGGTCTTCATCAAGACATGAGGCTAAGCGTTAAGTTGTAAGGCTGTCCCTGTGCTGTCTGTGCGTGAACTGAAGGAAAAAAAAAAAAGACAACGAAGGGAATAAAGTGAAGAAAATAAAATGATAGAACCTTTGCCAAATTTAACAGAGGAGGGGTTGGCAACCCCCTACAGCACCCCACCCAATCTGGCACCAAGAGTAACGCTTCAATTAGGGTTTCGAAAGGCCAGCCTGAGCTAGAATGAGCACAAGCAAGCCTCCCTGCCTGGACAAAGAGCAAGCCACCCAGCAAGAAAAGCTAGGGTGCCCCACTTGCAGCCGACATTGGCATCAGACACCCTTTGCCCAACAGGCGGTGAGCAGGCTCGGATCAGCACCAGTGACTTGTTCGTTCTAACCGGGGCAGCCAACCTAACAGCACGGGCTTCTCACGGCTCAGATGTGCCCCTCCTCCTGAGGGGTTCCACTCTTTTCAGCCTCGGAGCCTTGCAAGAATCCCACCTCCAACAACACGCCACCAACGTGCCAGGCCTTACAGCATTAAAAATAGAGCCAAGATGCCCTCAGAACTTTCCTTTGTCAGGCTTGAAATAAATATCCTGCTGGGCCCTCCTCCTTCTGGGGCCAGTTCTGTAACCTGTGATCCCCACACACACTGGTGCACACAGTCTCTGGCTCCAGACGCCACTGCGGAGCAGAAACGAGCCCCATATGCGTCAATGTGCAGCAGACACAGTCCTTCCAGCGCACCTGCCATACCTGCCCTCTCAAAAGACCCTCAAGTCGCCTGGTACCATTGCCTCTGCCATCTTCCTGACATCCAAATCCTCACAGGTGTCCCTCAGCTAAACACCAAAGCCCCCTTCACCCTGTCCATGGCTAGGCACGGGCGTTCCTCCCGAGAGCACTCAACTCTTTGCAAACAACCCTCCTTGAGACCCCCTCCAGCCAGGCCTCGACCACCCCGGACCCCCAGGCTGGCCCGGACGCCCTCCCCTTACCTGCGGGGGCTCAGCCCTGACTGACAGGGGGCTGGGCAGCGCCTGGAGGAGCAGGAGCGCCATGCCACCCAGGAGCCGTCTCCTCTCCATCCCCCTCCTGCTCCTGCTCCTCCGCCACGGCGCCGCCACCCCTCCTCCTCCCTCTCTTCTTCCCTCTGCTTCCTTCTTCCCTTCTTTTCCTGTTTCGATCTCCCCTCCCGCTTCCGGCTCGGCTCCACCCCGCCCCAGGCAAAATGCCCTCCCAGATGCGGAGGAGGGTCTCCAGCTCCCGCGCCTCATTGGCTCCTACCTTCCGTCCATTGGTCCAAATAGCTGTGTGTCTAGTATTAGTCCCGGCCTCCCTCGTGCTGGGTGACTTAGCCAATGAAAAGTGGGAGGAAGCCGGGCCATCTTGAATGCTGCGAGGTGCATGCAAGTGCAGTGCGCCCCGCCCCACAGAGAGTGGCGGAAGTACCGGGAGCTGGGGACGAGACCATCCGGATGCACTGAAAAGGCTTACCGTGTGTAGCCATTTTGAGTGTGGCGGAAGTGTTAGGTTCCCACAGTTAGGGGGTGGGAAAAGGAAAAGAAAAAGAAACAGGAGGTGCTGGGATATGATTCAAGGGGGCCTCTAAAAAGTCTAAAAACTTCTGGTGCCTTTTGAACTAAGGTACAGGCAGCCCTACTATCAGGATCCCTCTTCCAATCTCACTAAGCAGCATCTTAGATCCATTTTAATTCTCTATTAGTTAGATAGTAATTCTAATAGAGACAGTGTTCTGCCATCCCAAACTCTACTCAGAAACAGCTCTGATATCCACCGCCCACTGTTGCCATGTTAACGTCCAGATAAGTGAAAATGGCTTCGCTGTGCCCTGCAGAGTAGCCTGTTCTGCACCCTCTCAAACCCCATCCACACACCGCAAGGACAGCACTAGCCCACGCAAACCCAAGCATTACTATAGAGCAGCTTCTCCGTTGACAACATTCACCCAACTGGGTGGGGGATGCCGCTCTGTTGTAAATGGCTCGCATGGGCACGGTCCTGGGTTGAGTCCAGTGTGGGCCTAAGGAAAAGAGAAAGGAAAGAGATACAGGAAGGGAAAGGAGGAAGGAAAAAAAGAAATAAAAGACTAGACTTCGCTGGGCGGTGGTGGGGCACGCCTTTGATTCCAGCACTGTCTTGGAAAAACAAACAAAGTATCTATGAAAACAGGCATGTCAAGAGAGTTAAAGATCTGGAAAGCTAAGGCAGGTTGATCTTTACAAAGAATACAGTGAGAAAATTTTCTCAAGTTCTGATGTTTCTTTTTCAGTTTGTCTATGGAACAGGAAAGCTGAGGCTAAGTCTCCCATCTTTAAAAAGTTGGCCAGAGAGGCTGGAGAGATGGCTCAGAGGTTAAGAGCACTGGCCGCTCTTCTAGAGGACCTGAGTTCAATCTCCAGCAACCACATAGTGGCTCACAACCATCTGTAATGAGATCTGGTGCCCTCTCCTGGCCTGCAGGCATTCATGTAGTCAGAACACTATACATAACAGATAAATCTTTTTTTTCCTCTTCTTTTTTTTAAGTTGGCTGGAAAACAGACTCTCCTGCTCATGTACTAGCCAACACCAAACATGACAGAAACCTGTAGATATGCTAAGAGGGAGAAGCCGGAAACAGAAGGCCCATAGGATATTTGATTGACAGGCAAATCTGAAGACAGTAAACAGACGGAGCTGGAAGGGGATGGGGCTGTGAGAGAATGAGGAGTGACTGCTAATGAACTTGGGCTTCTTGGAGGAGGGCAATCAAAGTATTCTGACTTACAGTGGCAAAAACTGTACTTGTGACTGGACTGAAAATTACTAAATCGTACCTTTTTTTTTCCGAGACAGGGATTCTCTGTGTAGGCTGGCTTCAAACTCAGAGATCCACCTGACTCTGCCTCCTGAATGCTGGGATTAAAGGCGTGCGCCACCACTTTAAATCATATAATTTAAAAGGATGAATTTGGCCAGGCATGGAGGTACACAGATGCTAATCTCAGCACTCACAGTCTGAGGTAAAAAGACGTAAGTCCAGGGTAGCCTGGGCTCCATCCAAAATAAAACATCAGTTTCATGGTGTGTGTCACATCTCAAGATGGCGTGGAGTTAAACGGCAGCTTCAATCTTAGCATCAAGGATGCTCTATCCCTTAGTGTAACTGTGTGGTAGACTAACGACCAGCATGGCCAGGCAGTGATACATCTGTACATTCTCAGGCTCCGCCTACAGAACTGGAAGCTGGCCTGAGCCTTTCCGCTTGTATTTTCTCAACATCTTCAGGTGACCCTGGTACACCTTTTTCCTCTGAGGCTGCATCTCTCTGTTGCTCTGGCCTGGAATGTGCCATGTGGAGCAGGCTGGCCTCAAACTCGTGAAGATCCACCTGCCTCTGCTTTCCACGTGCTGGAAACAAAGGCCTGCCCAACCGGGCCTACTATACGTTCCTAAGAACCACAGTTGCAGGGTAGGGGAGAGTTACGTTAAAACTTTATATACATATACAGAGTCTCTATCGAATATTCTAGTTCCCAAGTGCACACAGAGAGAGAGGGAGAGCACGCAGGTTGAGTTTGGCTGTGTTATGGCTCCTCAATTCCAGCCTAAGGCAGCACACATCCCATTCTGGGAGACCAGTGGAGCATCAATGCAGGGGGGTGGATTCTTTCCCTTACCAGGGAAAGGAACAACGGTCTCCAGCCATCAGGCAGGTTCCCTTACAATTGCGATATCCTCTGACATGCCCAGCCCAAAGTCAAACCGTAGATCCTGCTTGCCATCAGGAGTTAGTAGCCTGGTTTGCAGACAGTGTTTTATGTTCTTTCAAATCATTTATTCAATTAATAATGACAGCGTTTGAACAGAATCAGCAAACTTTACCACACAAAGCCCATGTACAAACTGACCCCAGGTAAGCTACAGTTCCCGGGGGCTCGAGGAACAAGACAGGCACTAAAGCGAAGCTTTCTGCTCGTTCTCTTTGGGCTCTTTGGCCCCCGTTGCTTTCCTCTCGGGTACCCGAGCCCAGTGCCCTGTCCTACCAGTACTCACCAGTCTTTCTTTAGTATTTGACCTAATGGGCTCGGGAAGGGAGGCCACCAGGGAAATCATTCCCAATACAATGTGTGGCAGGTGCTGTCACTCAGTGAGGGCATTTGTGAAATACAGAAGCCTTCTCTCAGAATAAGGGTCCCAGAAATGGATTTAGACACGATTTTAAGACAGTACAAAGTCATCGGCAAAGGGCTAGAACTTGGTGCCCCACATAACATTGGTGGAATGGCGTTTGGCTGGACACGCTTAAGGTTCTTTGGTCCTGGTTGAATTGTGCTTAGGTGGCCAAGTATAGAGTCCCTTTCCTTTTTTTTTTTTTTTTTTTACGAGACAGGGTTTCTCTGTGGCTTTGGAGGCTGTCCTGGAACTCACTTGGTAGTCCAGGCTGGTCTCGAACTCACAGAGATCCGCCTGCCTCTGCCTCCCGAGTGCTGGGATTAAAGGCGTGCGCCACCAACGCCCGGCTTAGAGTCCCTTTCCTATGAGCACAGACCAGTCTCTGGTATTTGACCTACTGGGCTGTGGAAAGGAACTATTTGTCCAGTTTTTTTTTTTCCTTTTTTTTTTTAAACAAATAACTCTCAGTGACTGAAACACTCAAGTCTAGCAGTATTCCCAAGGAGGCATTCCAGTCAGGGCACAATGGGAAGGGTAGAGATGAGTCCCCAAGGAGATGCCCACTGGTCCCTCTTCTGTTCCTGAACAGGAGAGATGACTCAGTAGGTTAGAGCAGTGGCTGCTCTTACAGAGGACCTGGGTTTGCTCTCCAGCACCCACACGACGGCTCACAGTGGAAACTCCAGTCCCAAGGATCAGACACCCTCTTCTGACCTCTGTGGACACTGTGTGCAGAGACACACACATGAAAGCAAAACACCCATACACATAAAATAAAAATAAAATGATAGCTGGGCAGCGGTGATGCACACCTTTAATCCCAGCACTTGGGAGGCAGAGGCAGGCGGATCTCTGTGAGTTCGAGGCCAGCCTGATCTACAAAGTGAGTTCGAGGATGCCCAGGGCTACACAGAAAAACCCTGTCTAGAAAAACCAAAACAGAAAATATTATTAATAATAATAAAGATAAAATGATGAAAAGCACCGGGCATTGGTGGCGTACGCCTTTAATCCCAGCACTTGGGAGGCAGAGGCAAGTGGATCTCTGTGAGTTCGAGGCCAGCCTGATCTACAAAGCAAGTTTCAGGACAGCCTCTAAAACAATACAGAGAAACCCTGTCTCAAAAAACAAAAACAAAAAAGATGAAAAGCCTTTAATAATAATAATAAAATGATGAAAAGCCTTTTAAGAATCACATGGGTAAATGTTTCCCTTGCTTGGGAAGGAGGAAGTGAGAGGAAGGGAGGAGGGGACTTCATCCATCCATGGTCCTGACTGGAAAAGAATCACAAGTTTCCTAATGACTCCAGATACCAGCAGCTCCTGCTGAGATGGCCTCAGCTTCTGGTCCCGTAGGACAGGGGTCAAGAGCAAAGCAGACAGAATACTTCTGTCCTTGCTCTCCCTACTTTTTTGAGACACTATCTCTAACTCAGGCTAGCCTCAAATTCCCCATGTACCTAAGGCTGACTTGAACTTGCAGCCCTCCTGCCTCCAGCTCCCGGTACAAGGATCACAAGCGTATACAACCATGCCGGAATCACATTATGCTAAGGACTGAACACAGGGCTTTGTGGACACTACCAAATGAGCCACGTCCCCAACTACCTTGATCGACTTTTGAGTTTTTGTCCTCCAGAGTCCACAACAATGGGTGTTTATATGGAAACAGGAGTCACCCACCCTCCCACCCACCCACTCTATTTCCCAATCCAGCCTGGCTTTCAGACCTTGTTGCAAAGAGGAATGTGGACACAAGTATGCACAGCTGCCAGGGAAAAACTGGTCCACACAGGGTATGGATTGGTCCTTGCAGGCACGGAGCACTTAGAGACCCTTATTAAAGTAGGCAAAGAGGACTTGTTCTCCACTCTTGGCCTTGATGGTGTCCTGCAGGTCTGGTTCTAGATAGGAAACTGGTAATTTGCTGAAAAGGAAACCAGAAGGGAGTTATGAGGATGTATTACCCAAGACAACCAGCAATGTGCCCTGAGAAAAAAGCCCACCCAAATTATGTCTCCTCTAGGAAGCTCATCCTAGCTAGTATTAACTGTTAACTTGACACAGCCTACAATCCCCTGAAAAGAGGGTCTCAATGGAGTAACTGTATCAACTTGGTCTGTAATGTCTTGATTGTTGACTGATGTGGGAGCCCCTGGGCCACCGTGGGTGGCGCCATTCCCTGGGCAGTTGGCCTTGGGCTCTATGAGAAAGCTAAGCATGAGCCTGTGTAAACAAGCCAGCAAACACCATGCCCCATGGCCTCTGCTTCAATCTCCTGTTTGATTCCTGGCTGGCCTTGACACAGACACACAAGTCCCCTTTCCTCTCCCAGGGGACTTGTCTCTCTGAAAGAGACCCCACACAGTTCTACATGGTGAAACCAGGACTGCTCGGAGGTCCACATCCTTGGCCCTCTAGACTTTTCTCTCATTTCAGAACCCAGAACCCCACAGACAGACTTGAGGGGTCACTGGATCTCTTTGTCTCTCCTCCGGATGTGACCACAATGAATTTTTTTTTTCTGCTTTCCACCATAAAGGGGGAGGGAGGGCTGGAGAGATGACATCCAGAGGACACTAGTTTAAATCTCAGCACCCATGTAAGGCAGCCTCAATCTGCCCATAACTCCAGCTTCAAGGGATCAAGGTCCTCCTCTGACCCTTGCTAACACTAGCAGACAGAAAGACATATACATGAATAAAAAATAAGGAAACAACTGGGCAGTGGTGGCGCACGCCTTTAATCCCAGCACTCAGGAGGCAGAGGCAGGCGGATCTCTGAGTTCAAAGTCAGCCTGGTCTACAGAGTGAGTTCCAGGACTACACAGAGAAACCCTGTCTTGAAAAACTTCTATAAATAAATAAATCCTCCTTCTCCTAAGTTGCTCTTAGTTGTGGCCTCTTGATCCTCCTGCTTTAACCCCATGCCCTACCCCCAGTGTGGGGTTGTAAGTTCAAACTACACACTCACCTAATTCCTGATTTTTCCAGCCAAAATTATTGTTGGCCTGTGTGTCAGAATAAATGTTCCATTTCACCTCAACATCATTCTACCTAGAGCAAAGTTCTTAGCTCAAACGTCTGTCTTTCCACAAGTTTGGAAGTACAGTGCTCGGGACACAGAAGGTGACTGACTGGCGGGTGGCCAAGGAACCCGTGCAGAGGGCGGAACTGTTACTATCTCAGGTCCCACGCCAGCCACACCTGTTTCCTCCAGCTGACCCCAGGCTGTCCCTTTCCCATCATCTGTACTCCCTTCCAGGAGAACAAGATACGAGTCCGCGCACAGACCTGAACGGGAGCCAGAAGACGCAGAGTAAGCGCCTTGGCCAACCTTAAAGACCAGATCCAGCAAGCAGCGACCTTCCTGACACTCGTCCAGCAGGACAAGAAGTCTCCTGTTGCCCCGCCCCACCATCTCTGGGCACTGGGTAGAAGCAACTCTTAGTCCTGGCTTCTCCCACAACCCCTCAGAGACCTGGCTGGTGTGCCACTCACCCACATTAAAAGACCAGCGTTTAGGCTAGGCACCTGTCCTTAGAAACATCTACTTCCCTGTCCATCCTTCTCGGCAGGTCAGTGAGGGAGCAGTAGCAGAGTGTCTCAGACAACAAATGACTGATACCATTCCTGAGGGAAGAGCCCACAAGCCACTGGCACCATGAAGAGGAGGCTGTAAGGAAGGAGAAGAATGTCAGGGGCATGTCCCCAAGGCCTGGCCACACCCTGTCCCTTCTCTATGCCCTGTTCTGATTTAAGACAGGGTCATATGGCCCTGGGGCAGGCTGAGGCTGATTTTGAACACTGATCTTCCTGGGATGACACTGAACTCAGGGTCTTGTATATACTGGGCAAGCACTCTACCACAGAGCTGTAGTCCAGAAAACTCATCTTGACTTGGTGATAAAAGTCAGCGTCCCTCTCTCACTCCAAAACCCACTTCACAGCCATATTCCAACATGGGAAGAAAATAATGATATAACTGAGAATTGTAAACTGCAGATTCCAAGGTCACAGTCACCGATGCCACACAGGGATAGGTATTATCACCAGGAGAGCAAGGCCACGTCCCTAAAAACACTGGCACGATGTGTCATTTTTCCTGTATTCGAGACTGGGGTCAAACAGCCCCGACCAACCTCTGCCGCCTCATTCTCATTTCTTCTCCAAAACTGCTCTAGACCCGAGGGAGGGGGACCCGGGGAGAACTCCAGATCAGCCATCCGGGTGCTAGGATGTGACCAGCTCTGGGTGCTCCAGCCAGCCAGCAGACCCCAAACCACCAAAGCAGCATACTCACAAGCAGCCGCACAGCAAGACCTGCAGCGGAGCGTGCAGCACTCTGACTTTCTGTACAAAACAAGAAAAAACAAAGGTGACCACTTCAGACCCTGCACCTACCCCCCAGCCAGCAGCCTGAGGCTGGGACCTGCTGCCCTGGCAGGGAGACGGGTTCTCCTGGCTCTGCAGGAAGGTCAGGAAGCCGTTCTCATATCTGAAACAGGGGCTGGTAGAGACTGGTACGGGCTCTACTTGAGTAAGACCCGGGTAGTGGCTGCTGGGAAGGAAGGGAGGGACAGTTTCTGGGGCTCCAGGCAAAGAGAACCCTCCTACCTTCATCAGATGCAGTCTCTCCAGCCGCTCCATGACGACGGGTAACAAGACTGGAAGAGACAGAGCCGCTGAGAGGAGGAATGGCAGACTCTCCCCAAACCCCACCCACTGTGGTCACATCACAGACCTCAGCTCCGGGGGGGGTGCAGAGCCCGCATAGGCACTGCTACCCAGACTCCCCCGAGTCTCAGAGAAAACATGCTTCCCGAAAACGTGTTCGCCGCCCACAGAAGGCAGACACACACACAAGGCCCTGGACCCAAAGCTTCCTTCTCAAAATGAAAACTGGTTTGCAGGCTTCTGCAAACAAACCGAATCCTACTGCAACAGGCCCTGCTGGAAACCAGGGATTGGGGGTTGGGGAAAGAAGATTGCTTTTACCACTCTCTCAGGGACACCCCACTGTTGCTTCGAGAATATTAGCTAAACGACGAAGTGGGGTGTGTGTGTGTGTGTGTGTGTGTGTGTGTGTGTGTGTGTGTATAGGTTTTTCGAGACAGGATTTCTCTGTAGCTTTGGAGCCTATCCTGGAACTTGCTCTGTAGACCAAGCAGGCCTCAAACTCAGAGATCCTCCTGCCTCTGCCTCCCGAGTGCTGGGAATAAACACATGCATCACCACAGCCCGGCAGACTGATATTCTAAGAACATGCTTGTGGGAACACAAGACCTTAGCCTGAGGCCCACTTCCCCATCAGCCTGGAAGCATGTAGCTGTAAGACAATGTTTACTAAAAACATGTTTACTGAAAACAATCCGGTGTTCTTAGGAAATGTTTACTGGAGCAATAAGTTCCTGAAAAGGGCTCGCCCACAGGAACACCATGATCTCGACCTTTTCCAAAGACTAACCGCCTCTTCTGACCCACCCACCACTGCCTCTGGTGTCAGAACAGAACCAACCAGGGTAAGGAAGGGAGCAGAAGCTTTTCTTGAGAGAAGCCTTTCTTGGGAAGTTTTCTTGAGCCTCCTTGGGGCCTGCTTAAAGTTTTCTTTGCATCTCCGACTGGTCTCTGTGTCATCAATCCCAACACCCTCCGCACATTCTCAGACACAGGCTGCGCAGCGGGGCGCGGCACATGCGTGCATCCCTGGGCTCTCAGCTGTCAGCGAAAACAGCTTGAGATGGTGTCCACCTCCCACTTGAAAGCTGAGGTAACTGAGGCTCTACCAGGTACTCAAGGTTCCCCCACAATAGAGGCTGAGGTAACTGAGGCTTCTGCCAGATACTCAAGGTTCCCCACGATAGAACTTGTTTCCCATCTTACTCATGCCAGGAGCTGCCATAGTGATCCGAGAAATAACCACTTGGGTGATGCCCACAGCCGCAGCTCTCTGAGGACAGAGAAGGATGTCAGAACTATACCAAAGAGGTAAGTCAGGGTTCATGGCCAAGTCCGAACAGGTAAAGGGAATGGGATGGTCCTACCAAGAGACGTGTCCTTACCCAACCCTCCCATCTGAAAAGATACAGAAAGCCTATCGTGAACAGACATGTGGGGGGATTTAAGAGGAAATGAGGGTTGGCCCAGGAAAAGTCTTCTTAAACCCATAATGGCACCCAGGTCACATGTGACACCACCTAGAGAGGCAGGGTCTGAAGAGGATGTCCCTCTCTGCTTACATGAGAACGGCTGACACCCAGGTCACATGTGACACCACCTAGAGGGACAGGGTCTGAAGGGGATGTCCCTCTCTGCTTACCCGAGAACAGCCAAGCTCATTTTGGTCCTTGTCCTTCACACAGATGCCCTGGATGAGTTCCCTAAACAAAGAGAAGTTTCTGGACTTTAGGAAGTGATGTTGGCATGTGTCACATCAGGCCACCAGTGCCAAGGGACCGATGCTCTAGGCCCCTTCGGACTCTTCCCTTCGCACGGTACCTCAGAAGTGACCCTGAGCAGCAGCCAAGACAGCCAGCCCCAGGCCCACACTGCCTTGGTGGAGTCCTGAAGCTACAGGTCATATGTATGACCTTGAGGATGGTCTTTTACCCTCCCAAAGCTTCAGTTTTCCTCATATGGAGAATGAGGATAATCCTGGCACCTACTTCATGGAACCTAAAGAGAACTGATGAGCCACTGACCAAGCTCTGAGTCAGGTACCTGACCTAGCATCTATCCACTCCCAAACAGGGGCTGTGCTGTTCTCAGACAAGCTCTTGACTCCCTGGCTGGAGACCAGCCGGGCACTCACACTCATTCACCTGCTGGGAGAGCGAGGCGGAGAAGGGAAAGCGGAGTGGAAGGGTGTGCAAGCTCTCTCCAGGGCTGATGTGGTGACCCTCCATTTGCCAACAAAATGTGGCTGTAGATACAACGATGGCAATGGTGTCGGAGAGAACCAGTTCTTTTGTTACTTATATTCTATAGAAAAATACGAAAAGAAAAACCAAGGAAACAGAAACTGGGCTTGGGGGGCGGACCCATAGTCACCCTTGGCTAATGTGCACGAGTCTGTGGGCTCAATACCCAGGGTGGCAAAGAGAAAGAAGAAGCCATTCCTGTAGTGCACAGTTGTACCCCAGCACCCTAGAGGCAGAGGCAGGAGAGCGATGTAAACTCAAGGACAGACTGGCCTACAAAGAGAGTTCCAGACCAACCAGAACCACATAGTGAGACCCTGTCTCAAAAAACAAAAACAGCACTGGAGAGATGGCCCAGAGGTTAAGAGCAAAGGAGTCAAGTTCAGTTCCCAACACCCACATCAGGCAGTTCACAACTGCCTACAACTCCAGGGGAGTTTGATCCATTGAGTCCAGTCTCAGTGGGCATCTGCACTTACATGCACATACCCACACACACATACACATAATTAAAAATCTTTAGCCAGGTGGTGGCGCACGCCCTTAGTCCCAGAGCTCAGGCGGCAGAGGTAGGTGGATCACTGTAAACTCAAGGCCAGCTTGATTTCCATAGTGAGCTCCCAAGTCAGCCAAGAATACAAAGTGAGTCCTTCTCTGAAAACAAAACAAGCGAAACTCTGAAAGAAGACAAACAAGGGCTGGAGAGATGGCTCAGAGGTTAGGCGCACTGACTGCTCTTCCAGAGGTCCTGAGTTCAATTCCCAGCAACCACATGGTGGCTCACAACCATCTGTAATGAGATATGGTGCTCTCTTCTGGCCTGCAGGGATACATGCAGACAGCACACTGTATACATAATAAATAAGTCTAAAAAAAATAACAAAACCGTAAGATAGAATCAGTTTCTGCATTCCCGTCTGAGGAGTCCTGCCTCCTCCCCGGCTTCTCTGAGCAGCTGGATGCTGCTCTAGCATTGGAAGCTCTGTTCTGTCACTCTCCTTCCACTAAGCCAGTCTTAGTTTGGGAAGTTCACGGCTCTGACAGCATCTAAGCTCGGGATGCAGCTTTGGGGATACATGAGGCACTGGGTTCAAGCCCCAGCACTCCCCCCAAAAAAAGGTCCATATGTCCGTGCTCACTTAACATAAGACACACTCCATTCTTTGGGCCTTCAACAGGAATGGCAGCCCTTGAGGCCCTTCCAGAGGCTGGGCCCATGGGTCTTCTCACTGCCATGGCTGCCTGCGCTTCCCTGCTAACCCTGGGGTGGGGAAGAACAAGGCTGCTTGTACTCACTGCTGTCGCATCATTGGGATATTGACACAGTTAGCTGCAGCCACAGCGGCAAAGGGCACCCATCGGCCCACCAAGGGTGGAGCTCTCTGTTGGAGGCAGGGAACAATGGAAGTTACTCAAGCTCATGCGAAGGTGGGGGTAGAAGAGGCTTTGGATTACACAGGCAAAGAGGCAAGTAAACACGGCTACTGACATGACATGTCCGGACATCCACTCTGGGATCCTTAAACTCAGGGTGAGCCAAGAGAGCTGTTTTCTCTAGATCTTTGCTGCCCTCTGGTGGCCACTGTGTCCACAGCAGGCCCAGCCATACATACCTTTGTCCACATATTCATGCTCACTGCTGTGGCCACCGCAGTGGTAGTAGCTGTGAAGTAGGAGAGAGCCATTTGCCTAGTAGAAGAGAAATGTCAGATGAATGAATGCATAGCCGATGGGATTGGTGTCCACTGTGGCTGAAGCAAGGCCAGGGGCTTCGGGGCCTGTGGCTGGTCTCTAGAACCACCTTGGATTCCCTATTTCCATCACTCACTGCCTTGGTCCTGGTTGTGAGCCACCATATGGTTGCTGGGAATTGAACTCAGGACCCCTGGAAGAGCAGTCAGTGCTCTTAACCTCTGAGCCATCTCTCCAGCCCCCCTTGGTCCTCTTTTGTAAAGGGAAGCCTTTTTCTTTGAGAGAAGCCTTCCTGCCAGCCTGGTTCTAGATCCGCATCAGTCCCAAATAAACACACAGGAGGCTATATTAATTATGAAGCTGTTGGCCTTGCTTGTTTTTTACTGGCTAGCTCTGACTTAAGCAATTACCCCATAATTGTTAATCTAAGTATGTCTCTTACCGAAGAAGTTTCCGGGCTTCCTACCCCATGGCGTTACATCTCGACTCTCTGTGTTTCTCCTTCCCAGAGTCCTCCTGGACTCCTAGTCCCACCTATCTAGATTCCTATTGGCCAGCAGTGCTTTATTGACAAATGCACAGGACTTCCCCCCAACACTCTTTTTTTTTAATATTTTATTTATTTATTGTGTATACAGTCTTCTGCCTGCATGCCAGTGGAGTGCACCAGATCTCATTCAAGGTGGTTGTGAGCCACCGTGTGGTTGCTGGGAATTGAACTCAGGACCTCTGGAAGAACAGTCAGTGTTCTTAATTGCTGAGCCATCTCTCCAGCCCAAAACTCTTTCAATACTGTAAACATATCACATTTCTTCCTGCTTCAGAGCCAATGTCTACAGAACATTTCTGGGCTCCTGCAAGCCCGGATTCTTATGCTGGCTAGTTTCCTGTCAACTTGACACAAGCTAAAGTCATCTGAGAAAAGGGAACCTCGATTAAGAAAATGCCTCCAGCTGGGCAGTGGCAGCGCACGCCTTTAATCCCAGCACTCAGGAGGCAGAAGCAGGCGGATCTCTGAGTTAGAGGCCAGCCTGGTCTACAGAGCGAGTTCCAGGACACCCAGAGCTACACAGGGAAACCCTGTCTCGAAAAACAAAGCAGAGAGGCGGGGGGGGGGGGAATGGGGGATGGGATGGGATGGGATGTCTCTGTAAGTCCAGGCTGTAGGCAGTCCTTAGAGCTTTGTTGTCCTTGTCACGCCTTTTTAGACAGGGTTTCTCTCTGTAGCCCTGGCTGTCCTCAAACTCACTATGTAGACCAGGCTGGCCTCGAACTCAGAGATTTGTCTGCCTCTGCCTCCCTCCTGAGTGGGATTAAAGGCATGTGCCACCATTGCCCAGTTTAGGGCATTTCCTTAGTTAGTGACTGATAGGAGAGGGCATAACCCATTGTGAATGCGGCCATTCCTGGGCTGGCAGTCCCGGGCTCTGTAAGAAAACTGCTGAGCAAGCCATGGGGAGCACCCTCCACAGCTCTCCACCAGCCCCTGCCTCCAGGATCCTGCCCTCCCTTTTTTTTTTTTAATTACATATACAGTGCTCTGCCAGAAGAGGGCACCAGATCTCATTACAGATGGTTGTGAGCCACCATGTGGTTGCTGGGCATTGAACTCAGGACCTCTGGAAGAGCAGTCAGTGCTCTTAACCCCTGAGCCATCTCTCCAGCTCCCCTCCTTGCTTTTGATGATAAACTGTTACATCAAATTGCACATGAAATAAACCCTTTCCTCCCCAAGTTACTTTTCATGATGGTGTTTCACCAAAGCAATAGTAACCCTAACTGAGACACCCTTATCTTTTAGAGCCCAGCCGGACGCCACATCTACAGAAGGGACTTCCCAAGGGGCCATATGAATAGAGCTACAGTGCTATTCCCTGTCCTGTCACGCAGCTCATCACCCTAACAACAGGACGGCATCTGAGGGCACTGTGTTTGTTCTGTTAGAAGACTTCTGCATGCTTGGTTTGGTAGGTTCTGAGGCAGGATCTCAGTATGTAGCCCTGGAACTGTTATACAAAACAAGCTGGCCTTGAACTCAAGAGGTTTTCCTGCCAGGCTGTTTAAAAATCTCAAACAAGACTGCTGTCTTACTCATCAGGTATCTCAAGCTTCTAAAACCTTGCCTGGCACATAAAAGCCACATAGACAGGATGGCTCAGTGATTAAGAGAACCTGATGCTCTTCTACTCAGTTCTCAGCTTGACACGGGACGACTCAACCACTCCTAACTCCAGCACCAGGGTATCTGACTCCCTCTTTTGGCTTCTGCGGGCATCTTCACACATGTGGAGAATCGAAACACAACACACACACAAATAAAAATAAATCCTGGGGCAGAAGAGATGTCTCAGTCGTTAGGAGCACTTTTTTTCTTTTGTTTTAGAGACAGGGCCTCACTCTGTAGCCCAGGCTGGCCTGAAATTCACAGAGATCCCCCTGCCCCTGCCTCCTGAGTGCTGAGATTAAAAGTGTGAGCTACTACTCTCAACTTGGTTTTTGATTTTTATTTTATTCTGTGTGTGCACGTGTGTGTGCATATCCACAGGGACCAGAGGTAGGATGTCCCTGGAGCTAGAGCCCCTGACACAGGTGCTAGGAACTAGACTTGGGGGACCCGGAAGAGCATGCTCTTAACCACTGAGCTGTCTCCAACGCCTGAGAGCACTGGCTACTCTTGCAGTGGACCCAGGTTCGGTTCTGAGCACCCACATGGCAGCTCACAACCATCTATAATTCCAGTTCCAGGGGATCCAATGTCCTCTTCTGAGTTCTGCAGGCGCCAGGTGTGCGTGTGGTACACAAACACACATGCAGACGAAACACAATAACATAATAAAATTTTAAAGTAAAAACAAATAAATCTCTAAAAGAAAAACAAAAGCAGGGCACTGGTAGCACACACCTTTAATCCCAGCACTCAGTAGGCAGAGGCAGAAGCAGGTGGATATCTGTGACTTTAAGGCCAGCCTGGTCTATACAGTGAGTTCCAGGACAGCCAGGACTACACAGAGAAACCCTGTCTCAAAAAACAAAATCAAGGGGCTGGAGAGATGGCTCAGAGGTTAAGAGCACTGACTGTTCTTCCAGAGGTCCTGAGTTTGATTCCCAGCAACCATATGTTGGCTCACAACCATCTATAATGAGATCTGGTGCCCTCTCCTGGCATCCAAGGCTGAATGCTCTATACATAATAAATAAATCTTTAAAAATTTTCTTAAAAAACAAAACAAAACAAAATCAAAACAAGAGAAGAATATATTAGCTAAATGAAGGGACATTTAAAAATAGTCTGGGAAGAAGATACTCTCAGTTAGTCTGAATATTTAAACACCAGGAAGGGTAGTCGGCCACCTTCCAGAGTGGGCCACACCCAGGAAGGAAGGAAGTCCAAGAGCAGAGGGCTGTTCCTGCAGAGGAAGAGGACAGCCTTCGTTTCAGGTCTCCTACCTGACTGATGTGGGGGAAGCCGCATTCCTGTTGGTGTAGTTGACTAAGGCATTGAAGGATTGGTTCACCCACTGCCAGAAGATTACCGCAGGCATTGTCCTACAAGCAAGGAAGACCAGGAGAGATGGAGAGCGGGCCTGGGATATGCTAGGCATCATAGCAGCTGCAGTCCCCAAGCTAGTGCCTCTTTTCATACCCATGGCCTGGAATAGCCTCTCTTCCTTTCACACAGGGACAAAAACCTGCTCTGTTGAGATGTTTTTCTTCTTGGAATTTTTCTGACCCTTCTTCTGCCTCTCCTGAGACAATCATTCCATGTGTCCTGTTCCCATGACTCAAAATTCTTCCCCAACCTAGCACTTCCCAGCCTCCATTCTGTTCTGTGTCTCCAGGAGGGGAGAGCCTAGAGTCCTTCATCCCTGGCACTGTCCAAGCCATAGCTCAACAAGTAACTAAATGAATACATGGGGATGGAGGACCCAGGGAGTGGAGACAGGGAGACAGAGAGTCATACAGCAAAAGCTATTCCCTACCCAACCAAGCAGAGCCAGAAAGGGGCCTTCTCGTTTTTTCATTTGGAGTCACATTCGAAACATAAATCCACTGTGGGAGACTTGCTTTAAGAACTTAGGAGGAGGAGCTGGACAGCACTGACTGCTATTCCAGAGGTCCAGGGTTCAGTTCCCAGCACCCACATGACAGCTCACAACTGTCTGTAACTCCAGTTCTAGGGGACCTGACACCCTCACACAGACGCACATACAAGCAAAACTCCAATGCACATAAAGTAAAAATAAAAATTATATATATATAAAAAAGAACTTAGGAGGAGCCAGCCATGATGGAGCATGCCTTTGATCCCAGCACTTGGGAGACAGAGGCAGGTAGACCTTTCTGAGTTTGAGGTTTGGTCTACATAGCCAGTTCCAGGCCATCCAGAGTTACACATTGGGAGACTGTTTCAAAAACTAAACAAAGCAATAACAACAAGCAACAAAGACTTTAGGAGACTGATGAGATGACAAGGTGAGTGAAAATGTCTGTATTCCATCCCCAGGTCCCACACGGCAGAAACAGAAACCACTTCTGTTAAACTGTCCTTTGACCTTCATATACACAAACAATGGAATGTACCCCCACTACACATACACACACACACACACACACACACACACACACACACACACACACACAAATATTTTTTTAAGTTGTCCTTTTTTGTTTTTGTTTTTTTTGGGTTTTTTTTTGGGGTGGATTGGTTTTTCAAGACAGGATTTCTCTGTGTAGCTTTGAACTCTGTCCTGGAACTCATTCTGTAGACCGGGCTGGCCTCAAACACACAGAGATCCACCTGCCCCTCCCTTCTGAGTGCTGGAATTAAAGGCATATGCCTCCACCACTCAGTTTAAAGTTTTTCTTCTTTTTAAAACTTAATCATGGGGCTGGAGAGATGGCTCAGAGGTTAAGAGCACTGACTGCCCTTCCAGGAGTCCTGAGTTCTATTCCCAGCAACCATATGGTGGCTCACAACCATCTACAATTCAATCTGGTGCCCTCTTCTGACAGAACACTGTATATGTAATAAATTAATTAATTAATTTAAAAAAAAAGACTTAGTCCTAACCCAGGTGGTGGTGGCGCACGCCTTTAATCCTAGCACTCAGGAACAGAGGCAGGTGGATCCCTGTGGGTTTGAGGTCAGCCTGGTCTACAGAGAGTTCTAGGACAGCCTCCATATACAGAGAAATCCTGTCTTGAAAAAAGAAAAAAACTTAATCCTTTAATCCAAGTATCCCAGAGGCTGAGGCAGTTTGAATCTTTGTGAGTTCAAAGTCAGCCTAATCAACATAGAATTCTAGGCCAGCCAGGGCTACATAGTGAGATTCTGCTCAAAATGAAAATAAAAATAAATAATAATATAAAGCTTAGAATGGATAGCCCACTGAGTGCTAGGTCTGTTCCGGCAGCATCCGCCCACACAGTTCTGATTGTGGTCCTGATACACTGTTACTTAGCCGCTAGCATCCCATCTAACAAAGGGAAACAGAAACAGCAGCTAAGAGTAGGGCTGTTGAGAATGAAAAGAACTTGGCACAGTGCCCAGGATATGGTCCGAGACTAACAGAGAGGACTGTTAGCGAATGGTCCCTGCCCGGCCCCTCCCTCCCCGTCCGGGCTCACCTGTAGAACTGCATCATGAAGCCTGTGATAACCATGCCGCCGGGGACCTGGAAGGACATCCGCCCGATGAGGTTCATCTTCTCCCCGGTGTCAGGGTGGAAAGCCGAGTCATACAGCTTCTTAGCGTACAGCAGCCGCTCCACCTGAGTGCCAGGGGGCACAAGACCCCTCCTGTCACCCAATGACAACAGCAGTGACCACGTGACCTGGTGAGCTGCGGTCTCCTGGCTTCCCGGCTCCCCTTCCTTCCTGAGACCTCTGCCAGCCCTGAGAGCCCAGCAGTGCTGCGCCGGCTCCTGCAGCCCCGCCCCTCACCACTCACTCACCTGCTCTTCTCCACCTCCTCCTTGGCCCAGTCCAGCTCCTGCTCTGATACAAAGATGGTGCGAGGGTCCGTGATGTTGAAAAAGTGCTTCACACGCCCCAGGAACGTGCTCTGGTCCCAGCGGGGCGCGTCAATGTTAAAGCCAGACAGGTCAGCCTCCATATTGCTCACACACAACCTGTAGGTTTAAGAACAAAGGGAGAATGAGAGCTGGCCCTAAGTCAGTTTGCCCCAGAGGCCCTGGCAGTCAGAGACTGCCTGCTTTCCCCAGACCCTAGGCATCCGTGTGATGATGATCTAGGGGGTGGGCCCCTATGAGTGGTGTTTCCTGGGTCGGTGTTAGTGGCTGGCCCTAACTTAATCACACTGTGGAGAGACTGACAGGATCTACCTCAGAGGAGCTCAGTCTGACTAGGCAATGAGAGGTCATAGTCTATCTCAATACCCCCGGTTCTCCTAGAAGGGAGAAAGAAAAGTGGCCATTCTGAAATAGAAGCCCTCTGCCCTTCACCAGGCCTGCCTTCAGAGAAAGTCTTTTAACACAGGGATCACATGGTGGCATGGGGGTAGAAGTATGAGGTAGCTGGGTACATCATGTCTGCAGCCAGGAGGCAGAGAGCGATGTCACCTGTGCCTGGTCTCCTATAGCCTTCCCACCTCACCTACAGGGGTGGGGTCCCAGAAACACCTGTGGAAAATGTGGGCGCAAGCTCCCTGGGAGACTCACCAGACACCTGTCTGATCTCAGCTTTGTGACTCGTGCTTGCGGGTGCCCCAAAATGCACAGGGACAACTCTAATTCTGCTAAGAGTTCAAGATGTAGTCCGGCTCCTTCCATCCACAGCGGTGGTGGCCTCTGTGCACCTTGGCAGCCAAACTTGAGAAAACAAGCTCATCAGTGCTTGTTTTAAACAGCAGGGGCTCTTTCCTTTCAAAGGAATTTGCATTTCACCAAGTTGAGCCTTGGGTGGGCAAACTTTCTAATAACCCAGTGAAAAGGAGCAGGGGATTCTCTTTAATGGAACTGTCTCTTTAACAATCCTAGATGCTTCCTCGAGTCTGCCCCGCGTCCCTGCTTCTCATAAGGTCTGCTTTCTCTCACTGTAGCTCTAAGAGCAGTGAGCAGTAACCATGCCACAGCCCAGATGTTATGCTGTCTCGAAATTTCTCCAAATAATTCAGTCCATTACTTTTAATTTGGCCTCACTCAAACTTTCCAGGTATGAGCAGAATTGAACATGAACGGTTTCTAGCCCTGCTCCCAGTGGGGTCTTCGTTCCCTACCGGAAGCTCATGAGACACACTTCCACCGTTTACACTCTCTCTGCTTTCTTATGTGCCAAACTCCAACCAAATGACAGTGGCGAAACCTTGTTTATAATCTAACAAATAAAGCTTGCCTGAAGACCAGAGGGCGGGGCTAGCCACTAGCTGATCATAGAGGTCTGGAGGTCTGTACAGACAGTCAGGAAGTGAGATGGCTGGGCAGAGAGGAATATAGGCAGGAGGAGACAGGAGTTCCGGTGACTGCTGCTCTGCTTCTCTAATCTTTCAGCTCTCACCCCTAATGCCTGACTCGGGGCCTTTATTACTAAGATCTATTAGAACAAACGGCCCACTAGGTTCTAATTATAGCATCTGAGGGCTCTTACAGTCCCTGGCTCCAAACTCATCCACATTACTCTGCAAATCAAAGACCTGTATGTCACGTGATCAGGTCTAACATGACAACAGCGCTTCTCCTTGAATTCTGGGTACTAGATACTTTCTTGTTGCCACGACAAAACAAATTATGAAAGTTGCGGGGACAGGGGAGTTTATTTTGGCTCATGGTTCAACAGAGTGCATCTCGCCATGGCAAGGCAGACATGGTGGTCGGAAAATGAGGTGGCTGGCACACGGTGTTGGCAGACAGGAAACAGGAATACTGTTGCCCAACTTGCTTTCTCCCTTTTCCTTTTCTATTCACTCTAGGACCTATGCCCATGGTACGGTGCCAACCACATTTAAGGCAGGTCTTTCCTACCCAGTTAAAGCGCTCTGGAAACACCCCAGCGGCATATTCCGAAGGATTTCTCCTAAGTGATTTTAAATGCAGGCAAGCTGATAGTCAAGACTGTCACAGGGTCACTGACCTTTTTTTTTTTCTAAGAGCACCACCGTACTTAATTAAATGTTCACCTGTAAATTGGGGAAAGTACTCATTTTGCTCAGTGACTGCCCAGGTACTTAGTGACTGCTGGCTCTCGGATAGGTTAGGGCTTGCGAGTACAGATGTGTGGGCTAGAAGGAAAAGAACAGTGTCAGGAGCACCGATGCCATCTCAGCTAAAGTTCTCTAGCGAGACTGCTCAGAACAGAGAGTGAGGATAACCCCGAAGAACTGATCTATTTAACAGGCAGACTAGGAAAGGCAGTCTCAAAGGATGGGGAAGAATGCACGAGAGAGCGGGTGGGAGCACCGTGTGGGGAAGGGATACGCGGAGGTCGACTGCGAGGCTGCTGATTGGTTCAGGAGGCTGGGAGCCAGGCATCTGCGAGCAGAAAGAAACTGAAGAGAAAAGGCCAGCATGCGCGCCCACAGCGCCTGCGCCTGGCCCTAAAAGCAACGCCGAGTGGCGCTCTCTGGAGAAGGCTGAGGCCAGACTGCAGGTGGGCACTGGCAGAACTGGTCTCTGCCTCTCTCTCTCTATTTGACTCCTGCAGGAGGGAACAATACAAAGGTGTTTCTCTCGATCTAACTGTACTCCCGGCAGAGGAAAAGGGTTCACTTCCTAGACGCCACAGGAAGCGTCTCTTCCCTTGTCCTAGAACCAACCAAAAGAAAGTCCAAACTCTAGTGCCCGCCCTTTCCTTCCTGTGCATCTTCTCTCTCTCCGAACTGCTGGCTTCTCTATGGCTCGTTGCTGGCTCAAAGTAAACTTTATTGGTAGTCTTCAGTGTCACAGGGAGATCAAAATATCCCACAACGATGGGCTTACGGCAGCCAAGCCATTATTCAAAACACTACAGTTCAGTTCCCAGCATCCACATTTCACAATCATCTGTAATTCCAATTCCAGGGAATCCAACACCCTCTGACCTCTATGAGCACCAGACACGCACATATACGCAGGTAAACACATATAAAAGTAAAAAGAGTCGGGGAACAGTGGCACACCCCAGCACGAGGGAGGCAGAGCCAGATGAATCTGTGAGTCCCAGGACAGCCAGAGCTACAGGGTGAGACGCTGTCCCAAACAAGAAAAAACAAACAAACAAACATAAAGACTTGTTTCTTGGTTTTAAAACAAACTCAGGGTGGTGGTTTTGATGGCACACACCTTTAATCCTGGCACCCAGGAGGCAGAGGCAGCCTGATGTCTCTGAGAGGCAGCAGCAGCCAGATCTCTTTGAGTTCGAGACCAGCCTGGTAAACAAAGTGAGTTCCAGAACAGTCATGGCTGTTACACAGAGAAACCCTGTTTCCAGGAAAAAGAAAAAGAGGGAGGGAGGGAGGGAGGGAGGGAGGGAGGGAGGGAGGGAGGGAGGGAGGGAAGACCCACAAGTTCGGACAAGCCTGAGCTACACATTGAAACTGTCTCAAACCAGTTTTTTTTGGGGGGGGGCTGTAGGGTGAGTAGGTGGGCAAAGGTGGCATCCAGTCTAACAACCTGGGCTCATTCTCCAGAACTACATCCTGGAAGGAGGAAACAAACTCTGCCAGTTGTCCTACGAGCTCCACACAGACATGGCGTCAGGTTCAAGAGAAACCCAGGACAAATGGCTACCTGTGGTGTCTAGTAACACCCCAGAGGCTCTCTCAGTACCAGTGGCTCTTCTCAGCCCTCACCCTGCCCCCTGCCCTAAACTCCAGCTCCTGGGCTTTCCCTCCTCAGCTTCCCGTTCCTATGTAGGACTCCCAGCCCCTCTCCTGACCCCTCTCTGTCTTCCTCTCTCAAGCTCCTCTCATGGCCCTGTCCATTCTGTCGGCCATGTTGGCTTTCTCCCCTGCTCTGGACTCTTCCGGATGCCTCTGACTGCACTCTGCCACCGACCTAGGATGAAAACCTTCTCCTCAACCACACCTTGGAGTGGTCATGTCCTCACCTGATACACGTGGCATTTGATCACCACATACACACACAACTAAATAAACTTCCCAGCGCTCGGGAGGCAGAGGTGGCTGGATCTCTGTGAGTTCAAAGCTGGTCTACAGAGCGAGTTCCAGGACAGGCTCCAAAGCTACTGAGAAACCCTGTCTCGAAAAACAAAAATAAATAAACTTTTTTTTAATGAGAGCAGCAGGACAGTGGTGGTGCATGACTTTAATACCAGTACTTGGGAAGCAGAGGCAGGTGGATCTCTGTGAGTTCAAGGCCAGCCTAGTGTACAGAGCGAGTTCTAGGACAGTCAGGGCTACACAAAGAAACCCTGTCTCAAAAAACAGAAAATGGGAGAGCAATTGTGAGAGAAATAGAGGAACAGAGAGAGGAGAAAACAAATGAAGTGCACTAGTACTGATGGTTCCTAGAGAACTCAGATCACATCTAGTGAACGGTACCCAAGTTCAGAACAGGGGCCATAGGCAGAGTTCTGAGCTAGAGTACTTGCCCAGCACGCACTAGGCCTTGGGAGATCTAGGCAGCTCAAAACTCCAGAAGACCAGACCAAAGACCACTAAAATAGTGGAGTACTGTCAAGGTTGCCTGGAGCAAGCTGGAGAACACAGTAATAATTAAACCAGTAGGCCCATCCCATGCTTACAGACATCCATCTGACTCCAGAGCAACTGTGATAACAGATTTCCTTTCTCCAGAAGGAAACCTGAGGTGCCTTTTCCATAGAAGAGCCCACAGTGAGGAAGACAGTAGATCAGTAGGTTTGGGGGGAGGGTCAGGAGGCATGGGCTCTAAACTAACCACCCACCTCGTTCCTCTCTCTCTTTTTTTTAATTTTTCATTTTTCAAGACACTGTTTCTCTGCATAGCCCTGACTGTTCTGGAACCCACTCTTTAGACCAGGCTGCCTGCCTCTGCCTCCCAGGTGCCTATTCCACCACCACCCAGCTCATCACTTTGGTCGAGTTTCAGTATTGACTTTTTTCTCCAAGGACCTGATGTAAATATGCAGGTAGCAGGTGTTCTGACAATTTTAAACTTTGGGGGGCTGAGAGATGGCTCAGCATCAAAGGATGGGGATTCAGTTTCCAGTGCCTCTAGCTCAGGGCACCAAGCACTCACGGTGCACTACATACACAAAGACAAAACACTCTATACATAAGATAAATCGTTTTTTTAAAGGCTTATAAATGAAAGCTAGTAGGGCATAGTGGTTCACACTTTAAACGCAGTACCCAGGAAGCAGGCAGATTTGTGAGTTTAAGGCCAGTGTGGTCTACAGTGAGAGCCAGCCAACCGGAGTTACATAGTAAGACTCTGTCTCAAAACAACAACAAAATAACAAACAAACCAAAAAACCCTGAAAACCCATTCTAGAAAAATCTATCTTTGTTTCAATATTAACCAGGTTGGTAGGAAGAGGGGTAAAGCCTGAAAGCCAGATTAAACTGTTAATAATATGTAGCACTTCCTATGTGACAGGCGATGCTCTCTGTACTTGACATAGATAACAGGTAAACATGCATAAGCGACTTCCGGAGGTACCATCTCTACCTAGATGATCAGCTGTTAGAAAAGCTCTGTTTACTGATATAAACTACTCTGGGGCGAGGAATGCAGTGTAGCTCAGTGGTACAGCGCTTGCCTACCCTGCACAAGCCCGAAGGCAGACGCAATCCTACCTGGGCCACACTGTCTACAAACAACACTGTAAAACAAACTGTTTACAAGTTAGTTCGTGTCCCAACTCTATCACCTACAATAACTGACTTCTAGAATTGTACGGAAATAAATTCTGCATATAAAGATTCCACTAGGAAGAATACAATTTCTACGAAGACAGGTTGTACCAGTGTCGAGAACCTGGCCTGGCACAGAGGCACAGGTAACTTTCCAGAGGTCCTGTGCGTGGGAAGTAGCGCTAGCAGTCCAACGTGGCTTAGCATCCGGGGGATCCCTGACAATCTAACACTCCCGCTGTCAGCTAACCTCGATGTTAGCTAGGGACCGGTCCCCAATCTGCCTATCGCCCCGAACCCAGGAGAAACCGCCTATTCTGCATTCTAAGGAGACTGTGGAGATAGTGGCGAAGCCATAACTCAGGTATCCCGAAAACAACGGGGGTCAGAGGCGAGGAGTCCATTAGAGCCCTGGTCCGTCCCACCCGCCACGCGGCTTCTGCAGAAGCAAGTCCAGCACGCGGTGCCTGGCAGCCCCAACGGAGCAGAGGCAGGTTCCCTTCGCAGACGCGGAGACTGGAAGTAGCTGTGCAACCGGCCTGCGCTTGATGCCCCTTACCTGGTCCCAGAGGGGCGCAGCCTGAGACCCTACCAGGTTGGCTGACTTGGAAGGTTGACCTGGAGTACCGCGGCTAGACAGGGACCTCCCCCTCACACTACGCCCCCTTTCCTGACCTATCACAGGCCACAGGCTCCCGACAGCCACGTGGGCGATCTTGTCCCTCCCTCTGGGTCGCACGCCAGCCCGCCCTGGCGTTCCGCCACTCCCAAGACCGCCTGCGCAGAGGGCGAGTGCTGTGGCGCGCTTGCGCACTTTGGGTAAAGAGGAGCAGAACCCCGCCCCATCCCGCTGCTCTGCTCCTCCGCTGTGCGTGCGAGGGACGTCAGGGGCGGCGCCGCAGCAGTTACCCCTGGTAACGGGGGAGGCAGAAGGAGGAGGAGGCAGAGGAGGAGGAGGAGGGACTCGGCTTGAGGATGGTGAGTGTGGGGGCCCCGATCCCTCTGGAACTGGCCAGTCACCCCTCACCCTACTCCACCCCTGCCTCCTGTCCCCAGGCCCAAGGCAGGTCGCTGCGCTTGGGGGACGTAGGATGGCGCTCGCCTTGCTCTCTAGGGTTCTAGATCGGTTTGGGGGGCAAAAGGGGAGCCCCAAAGGTGGGCCCTGGAGGGAGGCCTAGGCCTGGGAGGAAGGAGGGATTTGCGATGGGCCCGAGACTTGGGGAAGGGACTTGCAAAGTGCTTGGCTGGCGGGGAAGGAGCCTGGACTCCATCATTCTGGGCACTGGGAAGGGATGAAGGCGATTCCGGGGAGCTGAGGAGATCAGGCCAGACACACAGGCTTAGATCTTCCTGTAGAGTCGACATCTCGGCGCCTCGGGACTGTAAGGGTCCGTCTGAAACCCGGACAGAAGTGGGAGAGGCGCGGTGCTGCAGTCTTTGAGATCACCCTGGCGGCACCAAGGGAGATGTAACCTAGCTTTCCTAGATGCTCGCGTCTCCGAGTGAGGTGTGCAGGGACTTAAGTCCCAGGACAAAAAGAGATACCGCTGGGAATGAATGCCTGATTTCACGTCTCTGTGGTGGGTGTGCTCCTGCTGAAAGTTCTGCAAGGTCTAATGGTTGTTGATGAGCGATTTTTCTTTCCATATTATTCCATGTTGATAGAAGCAAATTAGCCTCCCGTGTCTTAACATTTCCTTCAAACTTGTTGCAGTGTCCTTTTGTATGTGGCCGCACAAAAGGTCTACTTTCCAGGAAGGCCCCTCAAACTCAAAAGAATGAGAAATTGTAAAAGAGTGGCATCAGTTTGAAGCAAGCCTTTTCTCCGTTAGCCATAATTAAGGCTTTCCCAAATTGTAAGATTTAACCGGAGACACTCAGTTCCTTGTTAATTTTTGAATTATTATGTATTTAATGTGTATGGATGTTTAGCCTGCATAAATGTTTTTTGCACCACGTGTGTACCTGGAAGAGGGCTTTGGTCGCCTGGAATGGGAGTTACAGATGGCTGTGAGCCAGCCTGTGGATGCTGGGAAGTGAACACCGTTCCTCTGGAAGAGGGTCAGTATTGCTGAGCGTCTATCCAGCCCTCCTTGTTGATTTGTATACGGTAGATAGTGAGTAAAAATAAAATTAAGGGGCAATGAATGCTTTTAGAGTTAGTCAAAGAATTGATTTTAAGGCATTTAGAGCGGGTTGGTTGGCTTACTGACTGCTACGAACCAGTTACTGTTGCTCCCCCACCCCTCATTATTTTTGTGAAAACATTGAACTACTTCTGTTGACTTAAGAAGAACAAGCTAGGATATAGCTCAAGTGGTAGAGGTTTGGAGCTCTGCATAAAATGTAAGGTGATAGTGCCTGCCTATCATCCCAGCACCCCAGAGATAAAAGCAGGAGGATCAAAGTTCCAGGGCTATTAGTAGTGATTTCCAGGCCAGCCAGGGGTACAAGAGACTGAGCCACAAAAGAAGAAGAAAATAGGTGTCCAGGAAGAAAACTACACATCTACTTTTGGTCAGGTTTTGTGTGTGTGTATCTGTGTGTGTGTGTGTGTGTGTGTGTGTGTGTGTGTGTGTGTGTGTTCTGTTTTGTTTTTAGAGACAGGGTTTCTTTGTGTAGCCTTGGCTGTCCTAGAACTAGCTCTGTAGACCAGGCTGGCCTCAAACTCATGGTCAAATTACTAAACAAGCAAATTTTGGCCAAAAAACTAAATAAATTTACATTGTCAAATTGTTAAGTAGAATTATTTCATCTAAGGTTGTCAATCACATTTGACACTTGTTACAGTTACAGTTATTTCTAACCTCAGGCTAAACAGATTTTAACAAGTGTTTTCTTTTTTATTATTTATACATGAGCTGTCCATTTAAAGGCTAAGCTTATCTTAACAAATGAGTACAGATATAAATATTTACACATAAAATAAATGGATTTGAGAAAGTGGCCATGACTGCTCACACCTATATCCTCAGCGCTTGGGAGGTAGGAGGAGGAGGGTCAGGAATTCAGGGCCAGCCTGGGCTACACGAGACTCTGTCTCATAGTAAATAGATAATTTTTAAATTAATGACAATAATTAGAACTGCCATTTAAAAGGCATGCCAGGCTGGGTGTGGTGGCTCATGATTATAATCCCAGGACTCTAGATGCTAAATTAAGAGGATCATCATGAGTTAAGAGGCCATCCTGGGCTACAGTTAGTTCCAGGTCAGCCTCAGCTACAGGGAAGCCCTGTTCCAAATGCCATCCCCTTAAAAGAAAGAGCCACATGCCAAACCAAGAGAAAACAAGATTTGTTATAAATGAGAAACATGAGAGTTGTCTAACTTTCGTCAGTTTATCAATTGAGTGGACTGTTTAATTTCATGGTTGCCTAATTTATAATTATAGGTCATAATAAGTAAACCACTGCTCATGTTTCTAGGTGGAAATTGGCACTCTAAGTAAATATATAATAAATTGACCTTGTGCATATATTGTTGGATACCACTAAAATATTCAATGCTCGAGATTAAATCTAAAAAATTGGCATGTGTTAGTGTTTTGCCTGAGAGCGTGTATGTGCACTCTGGACATACCTGGTTCTCGAGGAGGTCAGAAGAGGGTGATGGATCCCCTGGAGCTACAGTCAGCTGTGAGCCACCGTGGGGGCGTTGAAAACTGAACCCCAGCCCTCTACAAGAACACATGCTTTTTAATTACCTGCTTTATTTTCTATGTGTGAATATTTTGCCCACATGTGTGTATATGTACCACATGACTTAGTGATGCCTTCAGAAGTCAGAAGAAGACTCCGGATCCTCTGGAACTGGAGTTATATAGATGGTTGTGAGCTGCCTTGTGGGTACTGGGAATGTACCCAGGTCCTCCTGAACCTTTAGCCCCCAAAACAGATTTTTTAAAAGTAAAAAATAAGAAACTAGGATTGTGGGATGTGGTGGTCCACACCTTTAGTCCCAGCACTTAGAGACTTAAGAGACAGAAGCAGGTGGCTATCTGAAACAGAGGCCAACCTGGTCTACATGGTGAGTTTCAGGATAGCCAGGGCTGTATTGTAAGACCCCTCCATCTCAGAAAAAAAAGAAGAAGAAGAAGAAGGGGGGGGAGGGAAGGAAGGAGGGGGGTTGAAAGACAGAGGAGAAGAAAGAAACTAGGACAAATTAGTCGAGATTATCTGATTTTACAAATCTTTTTTTTTCTTTCTTCAAAAGTGTAAGTTATTCTTAGAACTGGAAGTAGAACATTGAGTTAAATGGTCAGTGTTATGATTAAGTGTGTCACATATAGTATCCCATGAGTCCTGGTTAACTATGCATTTGAAAAGTGAGCTCTGCCAGGCACGGTGGCGCGCCCCTTTAACCCCAGCACTCAGGAGGCAGGCAGATCTCTGCCAGATTGAAGTCAGCCTGGTCTACTTAACAGGTTGCAGGACAGCCAGGGCTACATAGTGAAACCCTGTTTTCAAAAAAGAAAAAGAAAAAAGAAAGAATAGAAAAAAAAGCTGTGTGTGTGTTTTAAATTTTAGCTGTGACTCATTTTTTTCTCTTTCTAAATTTGAGTGACTGAAACAAAAAGCATTCTGAGCTTCCCTGAACATTTAGGGTCAGCTGGTCAGCTGTTTTACCCTGGCCTTGGAATCACATTCTCTCTCTCTCTCTCTCTCTCTCTCTCTCTCTCTCTCTCTCTCTCTCTCTCTCTCTCAGATTTATTATGTATATTTGTGTGCCTGTGTGTTATTTATATATATTTATACAAATATAAAAATGTGTGTGTTTATTTTGTATATATATGAATGTTTTGCCTGCCAGAAGAAGACATTTGATTCCCTAGAACTGAGTTATGAATGGTTCTTAGTCACCATCTGTCTGCTGGGAATGGAACCCAGGTCCTCTACAAGAAAGAGCAGCAGGGGCTGGAGAGAAGACTCAGAGGTTAAGAGCACTAGCTGCTCTTTCAGAGGTCCTGAGTTCAATTCTTGGCAACCACATGGTGGCTCACAACCATCTATAATAAGATCTGTTGCCCTCTTCTGGCCTGCAGGCATACATGCAGGCAGAACATTCTGGGGGATTCTAGGCTAGTGCTCTTCCATTCTTGTTGAGATACAAGATGATGGTAATTTGACACATACTAATCACTGTTATTTACCATGAATTCAATCCCGCAATTATTTATGGTCTACTTCATACTTACATGTAATTATCATACATGTATGACTTTTGATGAGTGTTAATCATATTTACATTTTTTTGGTGGGCCAGAAAATAGTTAAGTGAAAAAATATAGTTTTCAAAAAATGAGCAGGAAAGATGGTTCAGCAGTTAAATAGCACACCTGCATACATGCAGGCAAAACATTCATACACATAAAATTCAAAAATAATAGCTGGTCAGTGGTGGCGCATACCTTTAATCCCAGCACTCAGGGCAGATGCAGAGGCAGGTTGATCTCTGAGTTCAGCCTAGTCTACAAAGTGAGTTCTAGGATACCCAGAGTTACAGGGAGAAACCCTATCTGGAAAAGCCAATAATCATCATCATCATCATCATCATCATCATCATGAAAAGGAAATAGAAAAATAAGAGAAAATGAGCTAGAGAGATGGCTCAGTAGTTACAGAGCTCAACGTTCTCTCAGAGGACACAGGTTCAGTTCTCAGTACCCAGCAATCCAATAACACCACACAGACACACAACAGCCACACAGCAGCACACAGACACACAACAGCACACAGTCACACAGCACACAGGCACACAACAGCTATACCACACAGCCACCTCTAACTCTAGTCCCAGGGTATCTGACACTCTCTTCTGACCTCTGCAGCTTCATGCGAGTCTATAACTCAGGCTTACAAACACACACATAAAATAAATGTTTTTCTTTTTTTTCTTTTTTTTGGTTTTTCGAGACAGGGTTTCTCTGTATTGTTTTGGAGGCTGTCCTGGAACTAGCTCTTGTAGACCAGGCTGGCC